CTACTACTACTACTACTACTACTACTACTACTACTACTACTACTACTACTACTACTACTACTACTACTACTACTACTACTACTACTACTACTACTACTACTACTACTACTACTACTACTACTACTACTACTACTACTACTACTACTACTACTACTACTACTACTACTACTACTACTACTACTACTACTACTACTACTACTACTACTACTACTACTACTACTACTACTACTACTACTACTACTACTACTACTACTACTACTACTACTACTACTACTACTACTACTACTACTACTACTACTACTACTACTACTACTACTACTACTACTACTACTACTACTACTACTACTACTACTACTACTACTACTACTACTACTACTGCTACTACTACTACCACTACTACTACTACTACTACTACTACTATACTACATTGTTACATGAACATAGTGACCACATGAATGAAATGCCAATCGCATACATCAATCATTAATCAGTATACTAATACATCGTGAACAAAATGCTTGTATTGTTCTTGCATTGCTGCTTGCTGCTGTTCCTGGAGTCTTTCCTCTTACTGCTATTTTTCGCTTATCGCTCAATTCTTTCCTGGTCGGTGCTATTTTCTAGCTGCTTGCTGATCACCAGCGCCGTGGGCTGCCACCTACCAAGCTGTGATTGAACCACTCACCACTCATAACATGAATCGGGCCAGGTCACTGCTACCCATGCTGCAAATTGCACATGACACGCCACATCAATCAATCACCAGCCCAGCCCAGCCCAGGCCCAGCCCACAGCCCACAGCCCACAGCCCGCAGCCCACAGCCCCCAGCCCCCAGCCCCCAGCCCCCAGCCCCCAGCCCCCGCCCCCAGCCCCCAGCCCCCAGCCCCCAGCCCCCAGCCCCCAGCCCCCAGCCCAGCCCAGCCCAGCCCAGCCCACAGCCCACAGCCCAGCCCACAGCCCACAGCCCACAGCCCACAGCCCACAGCCCACAGCCCCCGCCCCAGCGCCCAGCCCCAGCCCCCAGCCCCCAGCCCCCAGCCCCCAGCCCCCAGCCCCCAGCCCCCAGCCCCCAGCCCCCAGCCCCCAGCCCAGCCCAGCCCAGCCCAGCCCAGCCCACCCAGCAAGCAAGCAAGCAAGCAAACAAACAAACAACACACAATTGATGAACTGTTGTCAGTTGTTACAACAAAGAATAATAACAAACAAAAGCTAGCAACACACGTCACACAACTGTTGCAAAGCACCAATAATAAGGAACGAACAAGAACGAAAGCCAGACGTTGAAAATGACAAGTTGCCAACAAAGCCCGACAAAATCCGACAAAAACCGACAAACCCAAGATGACAAAGTTTTTCACAATCTGTTCCCCCCTACGATCTGTTCCCCAAACAAATTTTAAGGAACCAGAGCACACCCTTCTAAATTTCCTGCTATCATGAGCGTATTCTCCGGGATTGCTTCGGAAAGAATCTTTGCCCCCTTTGGAAGGTTTGCATGGCGACTCTTCAGAGCAGTGGTTTGCGTAGCGGGGGAGGGTCCTACGGACCTGCTCCCGGGATGCCTTGCCTGGCGGCAGGAACTCGGGAACGCAGACGGTCATGGATTGTCCCTGCTACTGGCTTTGGTTGCGGGGGCCGGCACCGGACGCACCGATATTGGCATGAATTAGGTTTTTGGCGCTGGCAAGACACGTGCCATTTCCCTTATACTGGCTGCGGCAGTTTACATGGCCGATGTCGAGATCCTGTCACTGCCAAAGAAAATGTGGCACTTCGCGCTGTTGCTGAGTATCTGGACTGCTTTGTCCCGCAGTGGGGACCTGCAACAGCGGTCTTACATCAAGCGCTTTTGCGCTTTTCTGGTGGCGAGGAATTTTCCAGACAAGAGCGGCAGCGTTCGACGTGCACCCGGACTTCCGAGAAGAGAGGTGGGGCACAGCACGTATTCGACTGCTCACTACAGGCGTTTTGGAATCCACGCGCCAGAGCTCGAGGCCCTGGAATGCGGACCCTTTGCTGAACACGGCACTAGTCTGTTATGAAGAAGGGCAACAGTTTGGTCACGGAAGTACATTTGTACAGTGCGGGGTGGCTTCGTCTGGTTGTGCTGGAATCCCTCGGCTGCATCGTCGGGATCTTCACCGGATGGCTGCCTTGTTGCCTATTCAATGGGATGCGGACCTGCAATAGCAGTTCATCACGACATTAACCGCCTTGGCAGCCAATTGCAGCGGCTTGTGCCTGCTGGGGCGCACTCGACCTCTCTGCGCGCTGGCTGTTCCATTTGTCCTCTGTCAGCTGGTGTTGGCTTGGACCTCCTTGCTCCTTGGTGTGATTTTTCACCGATTACGTGATGCTCCAGTTTTCTGCGGCAGACTCACTCGAGGCTGAGTCTGTATTTTTTTTCGCGCGCGCGCGCCTTTTTCCGCAGTGGCTTCAACGTGTTTCAGGGGTGGATTTTAAGGGGCGCCTCCGGGCCCGGGAGGTCTTTGCCGCTGTTTTTACGGAGGCCAGCTCCTCACGTGCAGGCGGGCACCCTTCACCGGACGCGGCTGCGCGCGGCAAACGGCTCCCCGCCGTCAGCAAGCACGTCACTGACCAAGGGCGGCGGCCCATCGACACCTGCGGCCGATTGGGCGGGCAAGGCCAAGAGGCTGGCAGCGTACGCCCGGCTCGCGCCCGCGGCCAAGAAGGAGGACCAGCGCCGGGCAAAGGCAGCCGACACGGCGCCGCGCACACGAGGCGGCACACTTCTCGCCCGCATCAGCCGCCCGGCGCAGGCGTCGGCAGCAGAGGCACGCTGTCGACGACGTCTGCGCCGAGGGGCGGCGGTCGCGTCATCACACGGGTCTGTGACCAGTGGAGCGGGGCCGGCGGCGGCAGGAGGCGAACGCCGAAACTCCTCGGAGCGCCCATCCAGCGAGGAAGCAAGCGACAGGTCGGGGAGGGCTAGCACGTTCGTGACCCAAGGGGGGTGAACCAGAGCGCCGGACGGCAGCAGGGCGACGGCCTGTTGCAGCCGCACAGCGGGCAATGTGGCGTTCGCTTCCGGCAAAAGCTGGAGAGCGGCAAGGAGAGCCGCGCTTAGCCGGCAGAGCCCCAGGCCAACACGACCCGCGAGCTGCGCGCCCAGCCGTTGGCAATATCCTCGACGCGTCTGTCATCAAGGATGTCATCATGCACGCTCAAGTCTTGAAGGAGCGCGTGGGTGGTCACAGAGGTTTCACGGCAGACCCTGGCGGTGGCGCGCTCAAGGGCCCGGCCCGCGACCGCAGGGCTCGAGACCGGGGGCGCGCAGAGCGATGGGTCAGAAAGCTCATCCATCCCACGCGAACACGAGGCAAAACGATTGTTGGCTGTGGCATCATCATGATGCTGCCTGCGCCATGGCCATGATTTGTTTTTTATGATGCTGTTCGCATCACCATGATGCTGTCCGCATCATGGTGGTGGCGCGAGCATCATCATGATGCTGTCGAACTCATCAGGACTGTCATCGTTGCCTTCTTGCTGCTAGATATGTAGCGTGGAATCTTTTGTGGCTAGTGTACCGCACCCCCCTGTCAACATCATCGTGTTGCTGAACTCACTAGGACGCCGTCTGCCCGCCTATTTAGCACACTATGTTAAGCAGCTGCGGTATCCTCATGGTGCTGTCACCATCATCAAGATATATCAAGATGCTGTCAACATCATCATGATGCCGCGGGAACCATTAGGATGCCGCGTCATGGTTCGTAGCCGTGGTGTGCTATCTGGGGTCTATGCTGATGGAAGTTATCTTTATTTTTTATTTAGTATTGGTGTTTTTTGAGCAGCAGCATCACCAGCAAGACTGTTAAGAGACGCTCTTTGCGTTTTTGTTTGCTCTGCATTTGCGCCGATATCCGATTGTCTGGTTTGCTTTCACGGATGGATGAGCAGGGATGGCCACGCGACGACCAATCCCATGACCCATGGTGCTTGGGCCGGCGAGTCGCACAGCAAAGCAACGATTGCCGGCGAAGCAATGGGCAATCGAAGTGGAGCCGTGCAAGCCAGTCCACGCTCTGCCGACAAAACTCTCGCAGAGTACGTGCGCCGGTAACAGCTCGTTGCAACCAGAAAACAGCGTTTCCTGCAAATCCCCTTTGCAAACCCAAAGAAAGCTCGCTTTACCTTGGCCCAAGAGGCGATATTCAAAAGCACAAAACAGGCGCTGGGAAAGTTGGAAAACCCCAACGAACATGTCGACGGTTGAAGCTCGGAAAGCAACTTGTGAACAGCGGCACCCCTGAGCCAGCCCGGTTTCGCCCCAGTGCACGCGCTCGCTGGCATCGGAAGGCTACGGCGCGATTTTTAGCGAGCCAAAGGACAGATCTTGAGGCGAGAACCGCCGGTTTGAACCGTGGACGCCAAAGTGTTCGCGACCCTTGGATTTGATTGATTCCAGGTGCTGAAGCGAAAAAGAGCAACGCCCCACCCCGCGACCTCAGACAAGACTTGCAAATCATTCAAGCAAAAGGCGGAGAAAAAAGCAACCCCAGGACGTGCTGGCATAAATTTTGGGGCCGCTCCTTTGGAGTTCCGGCGCTGCAGTAATTAAGTTGGCGTCTGGCAAGCAAACCTTTTTTGAGACAAGAGTCAAGACCCAAATCCCACGGAAAGCATCAAACATGTGGGCACTGCACAGCATGCGCTGTTACGTAGAGCCTGTCTGCGAGTCCCCGCATCCGCCACTCGCCGTCCGTCGCACACCGCGCGCCACACATCGTCCACAGCGTCTCTTCCCCCAGGTGGAAAAAAAACAACTCGTCACATGGGTGTTTCAACTAAAACCCAGAAAAACCATGCAGGTTGAGGTCTGTAACAACCCCTTAGTGCAGGTGTGATCCTTGTATCTTATTGAGTCATTTGTTTTGGCCATTCAAGTGACATCCTCAAAAACACCCTCTAAACTTTCCCCGTTCGAGTCGCGCGGAAAGCGCTCTCCGCTTTTTTCTCCGCTCGCGTTGCGTCTCACGCGTGGCTTCTGCCTGCGGAAGACCAAAGCCCCCGTGGGTGGCAAGAGGGGGAGGACAGCTTTGGGGAGTTGGGGAACATGAACCCGCGCCGAAACCTTCGCTACAAACAATATGCGGCTGAAAAGGGACAAGTCCTGCTGACACCTTGCCCTGAAAGCCTGTCCGTATACTCCGAGATTGTATTAGCACCCCGTGAAGGAGTACTAGGGATGGTCAGCTGGCCCTGAGGGATTCTGGGCAAACTTTACAAGGTTTTCTCAGAGGGCATGACCATGGGAGCTGCGATTGGTGGCTTCGGGATCTGGCTCCCTGGTTAGTGATAAAACCAAAAGAGAAAGCGAAAGCCCAAACTTCCAAACCGCCAAATAAGGGTTGGCGGAATGATGGGTTGGGGCATCCCAAGAGGAGCAAACATCAAACAGCCCACAGAAGGACAAATCAAAGGACTCAGCATCGTCCCCTTCAAACATCACCCCCAACCAAGAGCAACTCGATCGAACAAGCAACAGGAATTGAGAGGACTGCTGTGGGAACGTAGGTTGTTCCCGCGTTAACGTCCACCCAACAAATGTCAAGACTCAAGGCCCTTGTGTCAGAACCCAAACAAAGCTCTAAAAACTACCCTTTTAGAATGGGCGAGTCATTGGTGTCCTCACTTTCAAGATTGCAGAAGCTCAAGGAAACCGTCATATTCTACCCTTGTGTTTTGGTCATCTGTCCTATAGGTGTCCTGTTTTAAGGCCACCTCCTTTTTCGTTTGGACACAATCCCCAGGGTTCCCCAAAAGCTACATCCTCAATCACCTGATTTGCAATGAGATCCCCGACATCAGCTATGTGATATTCATGGCCAAATTCTATCCCATGGCAACCCTGATCTCATTTGAGACAAAATTATCGGCAGGCTGTCCTAGTCCTTTTCGCGCCGACGTCATCCTCGCTGCGAGAACTGCGACATGTAAGCGGCAGCCTGGGCAAAGAAAAACGCTGGGAAAGATTGACATCATGTCGACCCCGGATCAATAAAGCTCGAAAAATTGTATCAGACTGGTTCAGAAACAATATCGGAGACAACCTCAGGAATCGGGTGTCAGGAACCATCCATGATCAACCCAAAATGAGCATGGTTGAAAGCCATCCTAAAAGGGCTGGGTGCCCGCTTTCTTGCTCAAGCAAAACATGTCACTATAAGGTCCTGACTGTTTGGAATTCCGGTATGGGGAAGCATGAAACTAAAATTCCTCATGATCATCGGAGAGATGATGAGGACTAGTTGCCCATTCAAATTGAATGAATTCCGATCCCCGTCCCTTTCAACATCTCCCACCAAAAACAAAACTAATTTGTCCCCGCAAAGACATCTTTGAAACCACCAATTGGGGATATTTCGTGGCGGAAGCTCAACTGAGGCGTCCGTGGCTCACTGTGGCTAAATCTCACCGCGCGACCGCGGCCCGGAGGCGTGTGTTCAAGGCGATCTTCAGGTCTTTGATCTCCTTGTCCACATCCTGAAGTTGCCGAGGCAAAACCCAAAGCTCTGGCTATAAAATTTGGCTGGGCAAGGGAAATGAAAAGGAATCCGACTACCAAGTGGGTTTGTCTCAAAATCGGAGTTCCATGGCGTGTTTTCAGGGTACTCTGTTGTCAGTTTGGGGACACAGACCAACGCACTGTCCAACAAACCTAGGTGCCCCACCGAAATCTCCATGTTTTCTTGGGGACAGTGTTGTCTCTCCAGCTAGGGCTCATTTCCCAATGCTAGCCCCTCGGTGGCAGGAAGGAGTTCGAGCTTTCCCACGCAACTTGCAGGTCTGCTGATGCTGTTTGCGTTGCTGGCTTGTCAAGGTTTTCCGATTCAACTCGCAAAACCAAGTGGCGCGTTGCTTCTGGCAAGATGGTAAAGGTTGGTAAAGGTAGTTCAGTCGCAAACAACAGCTGATTATTTTTCCCAAAGTGGGAAACCATGAGGCTGAGTGACCTTGCTGGCTTACTCTGGGCCAATCTTGGTTCAACTCTCTGCCGCGTAGGAAGTACATACAGGTAATCACAGGCACTCAATCACCCAGCATTCAGAAACCCTGGTTGATCAGTAGGGTGCACGTGTTGAAGCTAGGAGCATTCCCAATCAGGAAAAATGGAATCGCAGAGAAAACAACCGCTTGTTGATTTATAGAGGGGTCGCATTTTGAATGAATGCCTTACTTTTTGGGAAACACGCCCTAGATGCATCCTACAGCTTCTGCTTGGAATTGCGGTCGTCACAAACCATTCTACCAACTCGCAGGTCCATCCATGCACGCCATGACGTGAAGGAACCAAACATGCGCGCCTTACATCTGAGTGCCAATCTGAAAGGCCCAAAAGTAGATTTGGGTTCTATGTCAAAATGGGGCCACCCCGAAACTGGGTGGGCTTCCCGACCTCAACGTTTGATTCTCTCTATCTAACAAGCTGGTACCCTCAAAATAAGACGCACGCACGCCGGATGCGCACACGCCGGCCTCCATGAACTCGATGATGAAGTCCACGATGCGTTCCTTCACCATCTCCTGGCGGATTTGCAGGCGGAAAAAGCTACAGGACCCCCCCAGGTTCTTCAACACGGGCGTGGGGGGGGGGGGGGGGTCGATGGCAATCCTATGAGCAAAAAAATAAGCTGCCGAGCGCCTCATCGCCTGCCAGATGGAAGAAACAGCGCATCCCTTTGTCCTCTTCATCACCTCTTCATGATCCCTTTGCATCTCTTCCCCTTCATCCTCCACCTTTGGTGACCTTCTGTTGGTTTCACTGAAAACCCACAGGCAACCCGGGGATGCCTCCGCCTCCGCTGTGCGGCCTCCACCATGTCCCTTTCACACCCAAATAAGTTCAAGGGCGAAAATGACCAATTGCATAGGCTTCAAGGGGTCCCTTTCTTTGGGGTGGGCGCAAACAACCCTGGCCTCAAGATGGGGCGTTGGTGTCGTTACTCTCCCTCCTATCAACATCAACGATCAACCAGGGAAGCCTTTTTGGGGGGTGGTCCTCCATTTTGAGACAAACCCATGTAGGTTCTTCTCACAACCAGGAGCTTCAGGTAGCCTTCCTCATCTCACTAACATGGCACCCGACAGAGCGCCCTTGCCCCTTTCTCCGGCCGCTCGCTCAATTTCTAACCGGACTCCAGGTGGGTGTTGCCTTTTTGGCCGTTGCCATTTTGGGGACAACTAAAAGAACAAGACAACCCGCCTCAAACCCTTTATATCCGTTTACTTCCCAAGTATCATCTGGGGTGGCTCAAACCGGTGGCCTCCAGGTGTACCATCCACCATGTCCTTTCAAAACCAACGTTGAGAAAAACAAACATCTAGCCACCTAACCAAACCTTCACCAGCACCATATGTGTTTTTCTTTATTTGTCCTTTTCCCCTTTACCAACCACCTTAACCCCCCGAATCCCCCACCCCCCCGCAAGCGGCCCATTTTCCCTGGCCTCCAGGTGGGTGTTGGTGATCAGGAAGCTGATGTCGTAGCCCTCCACCGGCTTCCGCCTCAGCACCACGAAGTGCTCCGCCCGCTGGGTGAAGAAGCTCGCGAACTTCCGGCACAGCATCTTCCTCCGATCCGAGGGGCGCCTTCTTTTCATGTTTTTCCTTCTTGTGTTTCTCGTCTCGAGGCGGTGTGTTGGCCTGCTTTCGGTGGTCCGGGTGTTGATCCAGGGTTTTCTCATCTCATTGGCGGTGTGTTGGCCTGTTTTTGGTTGAAAGCAGCATATTGGTTGGTTGGTTTTGTCAGCTTTGTTTATAATGTGCTTTTCTCGGTTTTTGGTATAGAGGGGTTGTATCTGTGTGTGTGCCCGTTTCCACAACATGCTCACCGCCCCCGTGGCTGCACATGATGTTCCATTCACCCCCCAGTGTAAACCATGAGAATTGTGTCAAAAAGGGGTGCATCCATGGATGTGGACCCCCCTTCCTTATACAGAAACCAGTCAGGGGCTTTGCATGTGATATGTTTCGGGGCATGAAACTCAAGGTTGCGGCATGTGTTCTGCCCAGAAAACGCTCACAGAAACCAACACAAGGGTCCTCTCCTCACTGCCCTTTTACCCTCAATGGAAAAACGGAGTCTACATGTGTGTCCAAAAAGCTTCCCCACTTCCCTTCGGGGTGGTGACTCGATCCAAGATGGTTTCCACGCACCCCAAAGGCACTACTCTCCAAATACAAAGGGGTATATACTTACTCTCTCTATATATATAGATATAGCGGTTATGTAATAGAGTGGCTCTTGAGTGGCAAACCATCTTAGATTTGCGCTTCAATGTGAGACGAAAATGTACACATGTATATATGTATGCCGGGGAAATGTCTGCGTATGCGAATCTTGCTGTGTGCTATGATAATTCGCTAAACGTGGCCCAGCAAAAGCACATTCATTGTTGGGGCCCAAATTGGCGGCAAACCAAAACTGCAAGGTGGTGATATAGTTTGCCTGGATCTAAGTATGTAAACATACATCTTTGTACATAATATGCAGATATACATACGCTTCAAACGCCAGGACAGCTCAGCAAATCAGCCAAAGCTTCTCTGTGTCGTCAGACTGGCGGACCTGGGCGAGCTGTTGGGCTGAGAATCGCTGGGCTTATCACGGGCTGGGCGTCTCTCACACAAAAAGGCGGCCTAGCGTACCATCAAAGCAACACCTGAGATGGAAAGTAGCCTCAGTTTCGCAGGTTGGGTTTGCTTCTTGGAGCACCGGATCCTCAACCGTCCATGAAACCGTCTTCACACTTGGGGCCAACCTAAAGAATGTTCCAAACCACGAAAATTGTCTGACCTAACTCCTGTGAGCTTCCTTCAAGTTGGGCCTGTTGGGTCTGGTTGGTCAAATTGGAGACCTAAGATGGTTGCTTTGCTTTTAGAGCAACCCTTGTCAGAGCATGGTCACCATCACAACTGTCAAACACGCCTCCTGGTCCTACGTAGGTATTTCGTTTTCCACGCCTCGCTGGAATCGCTCGCTTGTGTCAGTAAGGGCTCGCGCGCGCAAGGCCAGCTGCGCGAGTTGCTGCGTAGGCTGTGGGCTCTAAGGCGAACTGGCCACCACCTCCCGAGCTTCCTGCTTCACTCCAGGCGCAGATTCTGCCATCCTCCCCTGCAGTCAACACGCGGCCACCAGGCAGGCAGAGAGCAGAGCGGACAACGCCGCTGTGACCACCTCCAAAAACGGCAGCGGGCACAGCTTCTGCCAGTGTAACGCGGAAGAGCACTAGGTCACAATTGCCAGCGCCGGCCAGCAGAAACACTTCGGCTGATGGCTGGTCGTAAAAAGTTTCCACCACGTAGCCCAGCCCAAAGTCCTCATCACCGCCCCTCATGAGCAGTGGATGGCTCCTGAGACCCATGAACTGCGCCCGCAGGCCGCCAAAGCTTTCGCCGCCCACGTCCCAAATCCGAACATCCTCTGTGGTGGAGCAACAGCAAAGCGTGTTTCGGTCGGGGCCCACCAACGTGAAGGACCTCACGCACTCGCCGTTGGGAACGACACCCACCATTGCTTCGTCCTCTCGAGACTTCTCAGTGTCGAGAACCACAACCAAGTTGTCCTCTGCTCCCGTGAAAAGCTGGCCTGTCTGAGGATGGAAGCGTACGTGGTTCACCACGTCAGTATGGCAGTCCTTGAATACTTTGACCTGTTTGCCCTGCGCCACGTCGAACAAATGTACCTTGTGCGAGGCCGCACAGGCCAGCAGCGCATCACTGCGCCCCACGCAGCAGCTGTAGACTTCGTGGCTGGCGACCGAGAAACTGCGGGCAGACTCCGCCGCTCGAAGGTCCCAAACCTTTGCGGCGCCGTCATGGGAGCAGCTGGCCAGGCAGCTGGGATCCGCCTGAAAGAAGCCCAGATCCTCCACCACATCCCTGTGGCCCTGCAGCCGGCGAATCGGCTTCAAAGTGCTCGGGTCCAAGATGCAGAGGTCATGCTCCGAGGTGGCCACTGCCAGCGCGCTGCTGTCACAGCTACACCCAAGCCTGAGGACATAGACATCCTCACCCAGCTGCACGTCGTGCGCAAGCTGGAAGGATGCCAGGCTCTCCATACCGGCCGGGATTTGAATTCCAGCTACGAGCCATGCCCATGTAAGAATCAGCCAAAGCTGCGGAACCCTTTGTCTCAGGCAGCCCTTTTGGCGGGATCCCCTTTAGGTATACAATCTCAAAATAGGCCAACATAGAACGTGGTTCTCCTTTTGGCTTCACTGATTGACCGTAAACCAAATCCCCAATCCGGGTGCAATTAAACCGCAAAAAAAAAAACACATGGGCCCTGAATTCCAATCTCGTTCTTCAACTCTTTCGGGACCCGCCTTGATGCTAATCCGCACTGAGTTCACGGAAGGCTCCTCAGAAGCCACTCGGATCGCTCAGGTCGGCTCGGCAATCCTTTTAGGTTAATGGGCAGCCAAAATGGAAGGCCAGCGTCTTCTGGTTGCTGTTGACCCCTCTGCCAAAAAGCTTTACTTACGGGTCCAATGGAAAATCCGACCTGTTTCAACCAAAAAGTTGAAGTCGAAAGATCCAACCAAATAGCCACAATGTTTTGGGGTGCTACCCGATCTATGCACGCGCGCCCACACACACACACACACACACAGCATCAATATAGGTGTGCTTGATACGGTACACCTTTGTGGAAGTAGATTCCTCTCGCCCCTTCAGTTCTCCAAATAAAGCAAACACTGCTTGCTATGTTCACTCAACTAGCTGCATGACGCATTTGTGTATACATGCAAAGCATGGATAGGGCATATCAGTGAGAGTCAGTCTCACTTTCCGCTACATGAGTCTATCGCGATGTATGCTCGGTTGCTTTGCCTGTGTTTTCCTTGGAATCGGGCCTCTGCGCAGGTCCAGACATAAGTGTAAATTTGCGTTTGTTGAACTGACCCGCTTGGTGCGAGAGACAGCGGTCAGAAGGGGTCTTCCGTGACATCGGCCACGAGCATCACCCACACAAACAAGGCTCCAATTGCCCCGCGTTGCTTTTGACATCCCCAGGGCAAATTTGGTTGTTGACGTAGACAAGTTTCAGCAGACTCAACAATCACATCTCCAACTGATGTAAAAAGAGATGTGAAACCTGTCCATTCAGAACGTCGAGTGATCAATATCCCATCTTTCCCGGATGGGTTGGTTCGAGGATTTGGGTAGGTCTCAAAATGCCTCCCCCCCCGCCCAAAAAAAGGAGGCGGTGTTCCTTCTTCATTTAACCCCGCTCACCAACCGAAAACATCAGCTTCCCCCCTATTTCATGGTTTGGATTGCTGGTCCAGATCCCCGGAGCCCATCCAAACCGCCAAGAGTTGCTCGCTGACTGAAAAACGTTTTTGGGACCCCCAAAACGGTGAAGCTCCCCTTGAACCAACCCCCCAAAAAAAGGGGGGGACCCTCAAAACAAAAGTACTTCTTGCAGGGAGGACCTCGAAATCGGGGTCCCGAAAGCCCGAAGCCCAGAAGCAAATCCCAATGCGTCCGCGACTCGATGAGGCAGCGCTCGTTCTCGTCTCTGGCGATGGTCAAGGGCTTGAGAATCACCGCCGCGGTGTCCTGCTCTCCATGGATGCGACTCTTCTTTTTTTCCGGGACCCCACAAATTTGTGGTGTTCCTGTTGACTTCCCTTTTGAACAGCCCAAAAAAGGGTACCACTCATGCATATATATATATAGTATAATACTTTTGAACTTGAGTTGTGGAGTGCTGATTCCTGGCGGGTTCTCGGTTTCGGGAAAACTTTGCAATCGTCAATCTCAGGGTTTCCATTTTTCCCACCCGAAAAGCATCCGTTTCCGTTTAGGGAACCCCTTTTCTACGGCTCGAAACCTTGCAGAAGGAACCCACAAGACCAACATGGAGGAATCCCCTTCTGGGAATGAACCCCTTAGGCGTTATGTTGATTTGCGGGGGGCAACTGCTGGATCAAACCAGCGGGGGGCCAACTGCTGGATCAAACCAGAGCAGGTTACAAGCGGAGATGTGGCTTGGACCGTGGTGGTTGATCAATCTCCGGGCAGCCTGCCTCCTTGACCGCAGCCAGACTGGACCGTCTAAGGATCGGCTACTTAACGGGTGGTTGGCAACCGCAGTGCCTGGAGGTTCAACCTTCTTGACTAGTAGGCTATAACCATGGCGATTGGTTCCCTCATGACCATAGCTGTAACCTTGCTGAATGGGTCGAAAGTCCCAGCCCACTTAGGAGGCCCTCACTCGCTTGCCAAGTTGCCTTGAGAGGGCTTCTTTCTGGGCTTACTTTTTTTTCCGAGACCCTCACAACAGAGTCACCTTGGACGAGTTTGCTCAATGGTTGATTCCGCCCCAAAAGAACAGTAAAGTTGGGTGCAATTGACAGTCCGTCTCAATCTTGTAGGTTTGCTGCAAACGCTGCCTACTCTAGCACGGAAAACTGAAGCATCCTCCTGGCTTCCCTTCGAGACACCCCAAGAAGGACCAGAGCGCAGAAAGGGCTCGCCCATTGGCGCTATGGTTAAAACTTCATCTGCGCGCTGCAATGATTCCCTGAACGGGAACCCTTACCATGGTCTGGTTCCCTGCAAGGAACCCTCCCGGCCGTTGCCGGAACCTCGTGGGTGTGAGTGTGGAGGGCCCCCTTTTTTGGGATGGTGTTCACTGCAAGCCAAAAGGAAACCGAAGCCCATTTTGGGGGTCCGATTCCCATTCTAAGACAAACCCATTTTCAAACACAACTGGGCTGTTCTCAGAACCCACTTCTAAAAGCTTAACTTTTAGCGGGTTAAACAACAAAAATTCCCACTAAACACCAAAAAGCCAAAATGCTAAAAAGCCAAAAAGCTTAAGGGATGGCTGGGAACCAAAACAAGGTGATTGAATGATGTTTCAGCGGGCTAGCCCATAAACCCCGGCCCAGCCTTGAACTCAATCTCCGGCCGGCTTTGCCTCTCCACCACCTGGCCAGCTGCTTGGGGCACTCAGCTGGAGAGACGTGCATGCTACGTTAAAACTGGGGGTTGGGTATGAAATAATTCAGTTTTCTATGTTGCATGTTAATAGTGGTTGCTGATTTGTGTTGCTTGCCGATTTGTGTATATGTGGATGTGTGTCTGCTTATGAATGTATTTGTTGTTTTTCTATCTGTGATATTTGTGTGTGTGTGTGTGTGTGTCTGTGCATGTGCGCATTCTTGGACTTGTTAATTTAGGCACGCATGAACGTATGTGTTTCTGAGCTTATGTATTTATTAGTTTACATATTGGCATATACACGTATGGATATGTATCTGTATCTATGTAGTTGGTTGCTCCTGCTTGTCAGTTGTTTGTGTATTGCTATTTATTGCGTGTGTGTTTCTTCGTGGTTGCTTATCCATTTGTGTATCTGTTTGACTGATATGGAGGTTGTATGCCAATGTCCTTCCCCGGGTCTGTGGCCTGAGACAAGGACGGTGCGCCTTTTAGACCTGACCGCATCAGCAAACGGTTTTGGGCTGGCCAGGTGCGGATTTGGGTGTGTTCTGCTCACCTTGAAAGGGAAAAGGAGAACCACCTTTGGTGAAGTCCCTATTTTGACACCACACCTTGGTTTCAGCGAAGTCCATTTCCTCCACCCAAGCATGGCCCGTTCAGATTTGTCCCATCCCGTTGTGACAGTACAAGAAAATTAGAGCTCGTTTGTTTTCCACGTGGGTCTGGAACGGTTCTTTCAAAACCAACCACCTGAAATCCCTGGAATTTCGAGCATTGGGTCCCTGGTCTGGACCCCTCAACCCGTTGGTTCCAAGGGCTTTCAACCAACCCAAGGGACACCCACGAAAGTGCATCGATCATCTTTCTGCCTGCGAGGGGTAGTTCTGCAGGCAGAGCGCGGCATTCAACGTCGTTCGGATGACCTGAGCCGTCAAACTTCCTCTCGAGACCCGGAACCGCAGCCGCCAAGAAAGCCGCAAAGGAAATGCGAAACCGACGACCCGAAGCCCAAAGAAGGGTTACCAAGGAAAGGTTGAGGGGCCTGACAAAAGCGTCGGGTCTACCCGAAACGTGAAGGAAAGGGCCGCACCTATCTGGTTCGTTCCTCACTGGCAACTTGAGTGCGAGACCACAGAAAGAATAGGGGAACATGTGGGCGGAATAGAAAGGCTACAAAAGCAGAAGCACCAAAACCAATGGAAGACTGCAAGAAAGACGATTGCTTCCCTCAGTCCAAACTAGTAGAGCCATGCGTCTTGCCCAAACTCGATTTTTCCTGGGGGCATTGGCGTTAGGAAAGAATCTGCACTGATTGTATACTGCTTGTTTGCCTTCTGGGAGATTGGATGTCCTTCAGGTATGATTAACCAACCTGAATTGACGCATCCCTAAAAAAGCAACCGTAATCCTGATGGGCGAATCGCTCGGTTTTACGCGTAAGATGAGCCCGCCGCCTCAGATTGCGCAAGCCCTCCCATGCTTGGTTTCTAGTCGCTTCCCTTGAGTTCTTTCGACAATGCTCGTACTGGAACTACCCTTTTGGCCACTGTCTGTATTTCTCTGATCCCCCGCGAAAAGTTTAACTTTCAGTGGGTCAAATGGAAACTACCGCGCCAAACACTAAAAGGCTAAAGAGCTAAGGAAGCGGATGGCTGGGAGCCACGAAGTTCTCACACCGAAGATCTCACACCGGTATTCCTCGTTTTCTGGAGCTCCGCACCTCCAAAGGGAACCGCGATCGATATGCACCATGGCCCCGATGTTGGACCGTGGCGAGGAACACTGCCCTGCCTCCAGATAGGGCGCCAGCGTGTGCGCCATCGCTCCAAAGCGCAGCCACAGGAAGAAAGCCGGCTCCGGAGGGTAGGCTGAATCCCGGGCTCAAACATGCTGAAACCGCTATTGTTTCAAAACAAATACCTATGTGTGTGTGTGTGTTCTCTTTAAAGCGGGCCCGGGTCTGGTGGGTCAAAGCCTGCTTTGACCCAACACCACCAAGAGGAAACTCAGCTCATGTTGATCTAAGTGATGTTCAAACTTGGGTAAAGGGCCCCTGATGAAGTTCGTCGGCCGCATGTAGCATTCAAAAAGCTGCAAACACTGGATCATTGGGCGGTGAATGTGTTGTTTTTGGTTCGTAGGGGCCTCGCTGACTAGTTCTGTTTGATCCGTTTGATGAGTACTATCCTGGTGGCCAGTAATCGTGGTGGCTACTCACCATGCAAGCTGCGTGTGAGGCCACGGGAGTCAGAATCGGACAAATGCAAATGCGCCGCATGTCAGTGACGACAATCATCAACTTCACTCGGCAACGGATGAAAGCTTTGCAACTGGTGTTGAATGTTTGCTTGCGGCATGTAGGGAGCACATATCCGAACTCACGTTGTATTCCAAGCTTGCTGGTGAATAATGACTGTGCATCTGCTCTTCTCCACTATTGAACACATGATGTTTGCAATTGTCAATACAAGATGTTGAACAAATATGTATGCTGTATGTGTTTCTATACATAGCATGGTAAATGCAATTGGCGTAGTTCGCTGTCGCAATTCAAACATTTATCATTGAATTAATCATACACAAATGTCAAAAAATGATCAAGGAAAGGTTAACAAGGATTTGCGTGGTACTGGCACAACTTGAGCTTCGCTCTCTCTTACTGCATACTTCGAGCATAAAAAAGGAAACAAACGTGGCGAAAAAGCTAAGAGCAAAGCATGACCATGCAAGAACTTGGAAATCGAAGCGGGGGATCTGTTTCTTTGAGTTCCAGGTCACGCAACGTGACTTATTACACCTGAGTGACTTGCGGGGCACACCACCTCTCTTCGCGACCTGGGATCTCCCTTCCAGCCGTTCCGCCGTCCAACTTGGGTACGCACACGCCGCCAAGCATTGCCAACAACATGTGCAGCCAATCTCACGTCGAATACCAGAGAATTCGCCTGTTGGTGGACCTTTGTTGAAATCCATGTTGATGTGAGCATATCTCGTGGATTGTAGCACTAGCCCCGATCATCAAACGGTGCAAATATTTGTTGCTGGCCAAGTCTGAGAGCTTCCCAGCGTTCCATTGGAGCAAAACCCGACGCAAATAAATATTGACTCTGCGTTCGTCCGGCCTACCGCTCCAAGGAACTCCGTAAATGGACCGCGTCCTTCAAGGAAACGCAGCCCTTTCTTTGGTACGGTTCTGATCAAATTACCCAAGTGTGGTTGCTTTTCCCAACAGGGCCACACCTCAGTTTAAGTCTGGGTCTTCTGAAATCACAATCCCTGCACAAGCCCAATGCAACAGCATCTCTTTGCGGCCAGAAATCACACCAAGCCGCTACCCCATGCATCTAATTGACAAAATCCCCGGGCCTGAATTCTTGATGCCGACCCTGCCGCCCAGCGGCCCTGAACCTTTGGAGGTCCAGCCACGTTGGCTCAGCCGGGTACCTAAAAGGGTATCTGCAAACACGCACTTCATGCAATGAGCGTAGTCCAGCAGACCAACGTGGCTTTGGTTTGGACAAGTTGGTGGGCGGTTCGTTGTTTGGTTGGGGACCAAAGTGTTGGAAGTGTTGGGGGTGGGGGTGGGTGGGGGGGGGTCCGGGGGCAGGCCCGAGCACCCACACTTCCAACCAGCCCCCAAACAAAACAATCAACCAACCAGAGGCAACCAACCTGAAGCCTTGTTGCAAAATGTTGCGCAGCATGTTGTGCAGCATATTTTGCTCCACAAATTATTTGAAGACATTTAAAGTAATCAAGGGTTGCAATGTGACTTATAGACTGGACATATGCAAGTCAAATGCCAAGACTGCACATTAGCACAGCTTGCTTAGCCTTTGCTTTCTAAACAAGGCCACCTTGGGCAGCATTGCACGGACAAAAACGCAGCAAAGAAGGATGGATGGTGTAGGTTTTGTGGGCTGCCTCAAAAGAAACCTCCTCCACATTTGCAGTGAGCCGATGCCAAAGCGTGAGCAACCGAAGAGCCCTTGCACAAGTTGAACTCACGCACCGCCCGGTTTCCGCATCCAAAGCTCATTCCGCTTCCCCAACGACTCATTCTGCCAGGAAGTTCTGGTAGATGCCGTAGTAGGTGATTGCCAGAGAGCAGCAGAAGAGCCACCAAAATCCTGAGATCGGGCTTGGGCTTCTCTCCCCGATGGCTTCCGAGGCCCAACCATACGAAAACACAAAGCATCGTGACTCGCTTACAGATCGGAGTTGAACATGGGGCTGGAGGCGTAAGGGTATGGACCCAGTAGCCTTGCGGCAGTGATTTGGAGCCGGAAACCATCTTGGCTTGTCCCTGCTGCCGCGCCGCTCCGCCGCTTGGTCTTCGCCTTGGGTGCTGCCTGGATCGGCACCTGTGGTTGCAGTATGGGTCTGTATCTTAATACGGAGCCCTTTGGTGAACACCATTTAGGTGGGGATCCATCCGACCACTTAGAGGGTTCCCTATTAAAATTCATGGCCATCTTAGTATAGAAGGCGCCAACAAATCCACCAGGGATTGCAAAAGCCGGCCAGCGGGAGGTTTCCCAGTTGCCCACTCGTTGGAGACTATGAGAATGACCTTTTATGAGAGGGGAACCCGCAACCAAAAGGGAAGAAGGGCACCACACAACAACTGGGCGAACAAAATCGTGAAAAGAAACAAACTGCTTCACGTGTCGTGACATCCCAATCAAAGAGACCAGCTGCAGGAAAATTGACAGGAAACTGTTGGAGAATTCCCGGTGAGTTTCTTAAAGAAATTCGGGGCGAGTTCCCACATACGGAAAGGCATGCGCCTCGGCTCTCCCCTCGGTCGCTTCCGCTTCCTCGGGGCTCGGTCGCGAAGCGATCGACGGCTTCTTGTCGTCTTGGCCCTTCTCGAAGCAATCCCCCGAGTTGATCACCTGGCCGACGTGCCACCGCGGCTCATCTGCGCCATCCATCCAACCCTTTGTACGGCAACCTAGGGGTCCCATGTCCGGCACCCAAGCTGCGCAAAAACACCAACGCAAACAGAAGGCATCCCAGTAGTACACCCGAGCACCAACAGCAGGCACAAGCAAGAACGAGCAAGAACGAGCAAGAGAAAGAAAGCACCATCAAGGCAAACAAGCAAGCAAACAAACGACAAACCTGCACGAGTACACACAAAATGCATTTGCCCGCTTCTCGCTGGGGCCCGTTTTATGGGGGTCCCAGACAAGGGTATGCTCTACCCAAACATGTTCTGAGCGGTTTTGCTTCGAACTCAACAACTAAGGACAGTTCACATGTTTGCCCCATGTCAAACCGAGCAGGTAAAGATGGTCACCAGAGCTTGAACCGAAAAAGGTGGTAGAACGACCTGAAACAACTTTAAAAAAGACTTAGCCAAACATAACCTAAAAGATTCTATGTTCAACCTAAATGACCTGAAACCAGACAGACACGTCCGCCCCCTCTCCCCTTCGCGCCTGTCTGCGCTGTCGCAGCTTTTCCTTCAGCTCCCAGTCCAGGTCGCCTCCGTGAGCTGTGGATGGATCTTCGCACCACTTGGACTTCGATGGCTTGTAGATCCCCCATTCGTAAGGGGTGGAGAACCTGCAATATACATACATGCACCCCCCCCCTCTGTGCATTTTTCTGGAATTGAGGGATCTTTACAGCATTCCTAGGAAGCACCCGCCATCCCAACTGGTGTTGGGAGTGGGTTTCTCGGCGGTGTGCCCATTTTCTCTCGCACCTCCGATTTTCTCCGGCCCGTTGAACATCGACCCACCACGGCCCCTCCACCCCGCGCCTCCCCACTCCCGGGCGCCCGCATCCGCAGCTTCCGCTTCCGCGTCCGCGACGGCGGAATCTCCCACGTCGCCCTCGGCGGCTTTAGCCTCAAGGACCAGGTTCCGCTTCCGCAGCTTCTCGGCGAGCCTCAGGACGTCCCCATGCCATGCCCCTCATAACATACCCCTGTCAAGCGATATAGCCCGGCTCAAACGGAACCCTCAAAAGCGAATTTGATGATGTTTTGAGGAACCTCGACACTTTCACTTGGGATAAGGCGGTGGGGCGCGGCGCACTTCGGAGTTGAAGCTGGATTCTGCTTTCGGGTCTGGACGCGAGGCTTTGGCTGGGGGCTGGGCTTGTTCGCCTATGTGCCGAACCCAAAACCGACTGCGCCCAGCTTCGCCCTGGATGGACCTGTTCACCTGCATGTTTTTGTGATGGTGTCAATGGACGATCCTTCTTGGCCTATTTTGGGTGGCCCAGAATCCATCGGGACCCAAAGATGGCCATGGGTGAAAAAGCCCGTACCCCTGATGAACATCCGATTCAATCCCCACTAAAATAGGTTCTAACATGGGTGGTGCACCTACCCCAAAACGCCTCCTTTGGTTTTGACAACCACAGCCACATCCTATTTGCTAAGCCGCTGCTTGTCGATGTGGGACTCGAAGTTGGAGCCGGGCTTGGGTCCGGGGTCCTCGAGCTTGTCGTTCGCCTACGCGGCAAAAGCCCTCAACTCTAAGAATGGGATCGTTTAATCAAGAACTCCAAAAGTAAACGGGAGAAAAAAAAAGAAGAAAAAAAAACACCAAAAAAAAAAACAAGATGAAGCAACACGAAACAACGACAAAACCAGACAAAACAAAACAAACAACTTGGATCAACATTAGCTTGCTGGTTCGAGGAAGGACCCTATAAACCATCCCTTGTTGTTTCCTTGAGGGATCCATTGGCTCCTTCCCAAAACCCCGGTTGATTCCCTGCCTATCGAACCAAGTCAGAAGAGTCCCTGGCGGGTTTTCCATCAGCTACCCCAACATCCACTTCACACCTTGGCAGTCTCAAGCTGCGATTGCCGCTTTTGCAGCTTCTGCGCCAACTCCTGTGAGCGATCTGGGGTGAGTGGGAAAAACGTGGTTGCTATAGGATAGCAGGAAAGTAGTGCGTCTGTCTCCTCCAGATTCCTGGGAAACCATGGATAGAACTTTTGGACCCGTTTGGAGTAGTCTTGCCAGGGGCAGGGCCCCTTTGATTTTCCTTTGTTGGACCTCCAAAAGTAACATTTTTGCTGGAACCACCAGTAAGTCGAAACTGTCAAAGGGCGCTGTGGGGTCCCTTTACAAGAGTACCTGAGTACAAGTTGGATTTGCAGGAGCAAGGTGTGGATTCCACAAGCGGCTACCAAAAACGCCAATTGCAATTCCTTCCTTGAAGGTCACCGGAAATGGGGCTCCGAGTCTACACTCATCTGCAAAACGTGCATCTTGAGTCTGGCGCTTGAGTGCGAAGCCTGAAATTGCGTCCAGGCCGGAGCTTGCCGAACTCTGGTTTGACGCGGCATGTGAAAAATGCGGCAAGGCCAGGCCTCCCTAAATGCTGCGAACCACGCTCGGTCAGGGATTGCGGTGCTCACTAACATAGCATCTGCCAGAGGGCATCCGAAAGATCCGTTTCCTGTCAAAGGCGTCCCCTGCCAGGGGTTATGGGAGGGAGAGGAACCACCTGGGGCTCATTTTTTGGCCCAAAATAACGGAACCCGAAGAATGGGCGGCTTGCCAGTGGCTGACCTTTGACGACCGAGGTGTCCGAGAGCCAAGAGTTGAAGGACACGGACCAACCAGAAGGGACATACCATCCAATTTGCCTCCGAAAGGCGGATGTTTGAAACCACGAGGGGAATTTACAGCGAGCTTCAAATGTCCCCTCCCCACATGGAAGGCCACGGGATCGCCAGAGGGTACTAACTCCAAAACCGGCAGACCCATCTCGATCGGTCTCCTGGTCGATGGGGGCTTTGTAGTCTCCGGTTCGCTCTGGCTCCTTCACGGCTTGACCTGACGTCGAAATGTCAAGGGGCCCCCAAACTTTGGGAAACATCCATGCGGGCCTGTCACCCGGACCTGTCGCCAGGGGAATCTATTCCTCTTCAGGTTCCCCCAATTGTGCTTGAACCGAGCCCGTACATGGCCGGTCCGAATTGTCGTAAAACTTTCAGGGGAAGCAGATGAGTGCTCGAGAACTATGAGACAAGAAGCCCGGGGAGGCCATGGCCATGTGTGAAGAGACCAAAGTGGGTGATGTCCAACTCGGTCAGATCTCTGAGATCGAATTGTTGGGCAGGAGAATTAAGAAATATCCGATCTACCCCAAGGCACCTAAGCAATCCCAACGCCAAAAAGCCGCTTCCCAAGTAAACCGCAGATCCATTCAAAATGAGACCCCAATAAAAGCGGTTGATGGACTTCGGGTTCCCATTCTTGTTTCGGGCTGGGGATGTTTGAAGCTTCAAGCCCCCGTCGAATGAAAAGCATGCTCCAAGAGTCCTCACATCCAGTGGCTCAAACATATGTGCGCAACAGTTGCGATCACCCACTTTCTAGGAGAATGCAGGGCGCCTCTTGTCAAATGTCGAGCAAACAAATGGTTGCCATAGCAACCTTTTTGAGTTCGCCCAGGAACATGTCTATTCACCAAATGGAAATACGGAACCCCGTAGTAGGCTTCATCCTGCGCTCATCTTACCACTCTTTGTTCTAATCCTAGACAGATTGCCCAGCAAGGGTTGGCCAATGCCATGTTCAAACCTTTCGGCACCCCATTTGCAGGTGAGGGCCTGGCTGTTTACACACATTTTCCCCAACTCTGGTTCAAGCTGTGAAGGCCCAAGACCTTCTTTGACGTCTATGGGGTCTTTGGTGCCCTTGAAGTCTTCGGATCTTTGCAACCAACCCTAGCCCCAACCCAACCCACCCCAACCACAACACCAAATCTTCCACCCATCAACGTGTACATCAGCATGTTCATGAACTCAGACCAACCCTAGCAACCAACCCAACCCCAACCCCACCCGTGGGAGGCCTCCGCTGCGCGTCTGCAGCTTGGATCGCAGCTCCCCGTCGATGCGCGCCTCAAACGCGCGGCTCCGGACCTCAGCTCCGGGCATCGCAGTCGGCACGGGCGGTGCCGGTCTTCACGTTGGATACCCCGTTTTCCACATGGCCATTTGCTGGGGTCCATCAGGTTTTCAGGGTACCCTCAAGCAAAGAGTCTGAACTCTTGGGTTACTCCATTTTGGTGGGCGTTGTGTCCAGTCGCTTTCGCACCAGTGTCTCAGAATGGGGGACTGCCCCAAAGTAGGTGCTGCCGTGTTCTTTCCCCACTTGCCTTCTGAGACCTGTCCGTTGTTCAAAGGAAACCAGCTCCAGACAAATGGCTGTGGCTCAAAAACCGGTACCAAAATGGGTTGCCCTGGTAAGTGGAAACATGGACCAAAGCCTGCGTAACCCCTCCGATCACCGGAGGAGCTCCACCTTCACGAAGTGAGAGCTCAGATGCCCAGCGGCCATGAAAAAAAGGCATCCTTGTTGGGTTGGCTGAGTTGAAAAGGGAAGCCTTTCCCCAAAAAAAGAAGGAAAAAAAGGCGGAATCCACTGGGCCACTGGGAGAAACAAACTTTGGGACAAATATGTTTTACTCCCCAGAAAGAATGGCAGGGGTCTGAATCGAGGGATGCGTGCCCTCATGCGCAAACTATGAATATGACTGTAAACTCCGTTTACCCATATCCTGTGTTTAGAGCAAACCCCCCGGTCTGGAACCCAGGTGGTTGATGTCCAAGCGGAGATCCCGAATCCTGGATGTGTCTCACAAACGGAGGAAACCCCCAGAATGGGGCCCTGTGTTTCCCTTTCAAGCCACCAAAAAACAAAGGGTTCCCGAAAAGAAGGGGATGCCTCCTGGATTTCAGCCACCAAAAAGTCTGCGATGGGACGGAGTGCAAGAAGCCTTTTGCTGGCTAGTGGACAGAGGTCGCTGGATTCCCCCCCCCCTTTTAATTGAAAAAAATAGAAAAAAATAAAACGCCATGACAGCCGCAAGCCTGGACTCCTCCCAGAAGGCCTTGGGCCTTGGGCCACCACCCTGAACCAAGACCCCCCCCCAGGGCCCGGCGGGCTCCACGTTGGCCCCTTCCGGGCCGTCGGTTTCGTCCGCCTTGCCGCGCCGCCTGGGAAGCTTGGCCGACCCGAGAGAAGATTTTCAGGTGAGCCTTGCTGATGCTTCATGGAGCTCGTGGGCTCGCTTTTGGATTGGTCCAGATCCGTCTTAAAGGGCTCGGCACGTGACGTGGGGGAAGGGGGGGAAGCAAAAGCCCTTCAGGAAAGGCTTGGATCCTTCTCAGAACCTAGTAGTTCATTGATCGCTTGCTACAAGTTAAGGCTTTTCGTGGGATATGTCATAAATCACTCTGAACGCTAAACGTCTAAATGTCGAAACATCCAAGAGTGTGGCGGGTCTAAGGGTTCTGGTGCGGCTGTCCACTAGCTTGCACCCCCCCCCTCCCCGAACCTTGCGCCTTTCTGGCGGGAGCCCCAGGCGTCAAAATCCCCCGTCCCTCGTGGAATTGAGGGTGGGGGAGCCCAACTGGACGGCTTCCGATTAAGGCGAGTCAAAAACGGCACCCCACCCGGCTGAGGTACTTTTTTTTGCATAGCCCTGGCATTAGCCCAACCCTGGCACAGCCTGGCGTGCATGCAAGGAGACACTAACAGACAGTCCGTTTAGGGTAGGTAGGCCAATTTTAAACCCACCCTAAACCAGCCCTAAACCCATCCGAGACCAACCCCAAGAAGCCCCACCATAAACCAGCACCAAACCATAGCCACCCCCAAATTTGCTCTCAATAGGCCTGGAACCCACAAACCTGAGCCAACCTGGAACCCACCCTAAACCCAGCCAACCACAGCCTGGTGATGCTGAGGATGTTGAAAACAATGCTGAGGATGTTAAAACGATGCCGGGCCTTAACCTACCCCATTCGGCGCCAACCAACCAACCAACCAACCAACCAACCAACCAACCACTTACCAGGGTTTGTGCCAGGGCCAGGCAACAAAAAACGCCCACCCCACCCAACAAAAAAAAGAAGGAGCATACGAGTACAAAGATTCCGGGCTCCCCATACTTCCTCTGCCAAGGAAGCTCAGTGTTAACTTTTAAATGCGCCTTTCCAACGGGCGATCTTCAGAGCCACCCTTTGCGGAACCGGAAAAATCTAGTTGGACCCGTCCTTCAGTGGGTGTTCAAAAGGTAAACGCCACAGAAAACGGTGCAGGATCCGTTTGGGTTCGTCGCCAAATAGGAATCGGACCCCCAAGACTTGCTGGTGCTCAGCAGGGAATGACCTTCCGGGTTGTGCGAATGAACCACAATGGATGGTTTTTGGGGGGTTCGTCCCACTCCTCATTCCTTGCCTCTCCAACCAGCAAGTTGTTTCCCTTTAAAAAGTACACCTCCACAAAACAGGACCGGTCTGGGACAAGGCTGCCCTTTGCTTCCCCATGTCCACTGGCAACACTGCGGGAAACGGTGAATGGATGGTTTTCTGGCGTCATTCCATTTCTCAGCCCCATCGAACCAGTAAGTTCTGGGAGAAGGCCCTGTGTTTCCTCTGGGTTTCTCTTCAGACCGCCAAGCCCAAAACGCCAAGCCAAGTCGCTGCTCCAAGCGCTTCGACAGCTCAGAGTCCAGTGGCATGGCCACTCGGGAGTCGTCGCGTCCAGTGGGCCAAAGAATTCCCGGCTTGCTGGGAGGCGGTTGTATGCTTGGTCTTTTTTGCGAGTTTGCATATGGATGCTACTTGCAGGTGTTGGTGGCGTTCTTACACTTTGTCTCACCTGCTTTGGGCCTAAGGATCATAAGAGTTTGTAAGGAGGCACCAAATGAAATGGCACCTTTCAGCACCTGCAAATCATCTCAAGCCTTTGCGATTCTCTCGGCTGGTCGAATGAGACTTGCGCTTCTTCCTGCTCGCTGTGGGCAGAGATGCGAGTGTGGTGTCTTGCATGTCTTGGAAAGCAAAAGCTGGAGAGCGCGCGGGGCAGTCACGGACTAGAGCACCACAGAACGCAGGAGGCATCCATGCGCAAGGCATTGTGCCTAGAGAATGATACGGGGGCGATGCAAGAACAGTGCGCCCAACTTGCTTATAAAAAACTTCCAACCCTTTTTGCGGATGGCTTGTGAAGGCGCTGCAAATCGTTACTAGTCAGCAGCGTCCATGTTTGGCAACTCCCAACTGCGGCTCATTTGGCCGCGGGCAAAGTGTAGAGACTCCTTCCATTCAGGAACCGCCGCTATTAAACCGCCCGTCACCCGTGTCTCTTTGAGGGTACCACTTTGGTTGTGGCCTTGAAGGGAAACCAAAAGGAACCCGAAACTCTGGTGAACATATCTTCGGATTTCCGATGTTAAATTAAAACTGTTTTAAGGCAAACGAGCCGCATATCACTTGTCAGTCAACTGGAGGCGTCTAAGGGGAAAGGGCTGCGCCCAACCCAAGAAAGCACTTTTCTACTGGTGGTGTATTCTATTATGAGACAATCCCACATCCACTGGCGACGAGGTGCTGTGGCTGCTGTGGGCACCCTCAAGATCAATCCGCTGCAGCGATCTGTTTTTGCCGTCCGTGCGGCTGCAATTCCTGTCTCTCGCGCCCTCTCGCGCAGCCCAAGCCAGCAAGTGAGCAAATGTTCAAACTACCCCCAACGCATGAGATCTAGCCCCAATGTTGTCACCATGAAGCCATAAAGCTCCCATTGATGTTGCCGTGTCCGCAAGTCCGCAAGTGCTGCCACATATGTTTTTTGTTTTCAAAATCATGGACCCCCTTTGGGTTGGTGTTTGAAGGGAAACTAAAGGATGACAACCAGTGTTCGGGCACCGAGTCCTGCTTTGGAGGAACACCCACATCCCTCGCAAGCCATTGCCTCATGGACTTTGAAGGGGGGCTACGGGGAGGGGGGCTATCCCTTACTAACCCCTTATTAAGGCCTTAGGCTTATCCATGGCTTATCCATGGCTTCTCCTGGGCGTATCCAGGGATAGGCACCCCCCCATAGCCCCCAGTGGGGTTCCATGAGAGTCCTTGGCTCAGGGAGCACTCAGACCTTGCTCGCGATGGTCACCTCCAGCGGGCGGCACCTTCTCGCACTTCCACGCCTCCAGCCTTCGAGCGTTGACCCCTGGGCAGAGTGTCTGCACATAATACAAAACATTGTCGTTGTAGAACAATCTCCCTGTTGATTTCCACATACATTTATATTTCTTACTTGTAGCTCTGGCCCGAGCACCTCCCGGTGGTAGAGCCGGTGAACAGCGAAGCTTGGGAGGCGCCATGGACACAGGTCTGACCAGCCTTGCTCTCGGCAGCAGGGCCACTTTGGTGGCGCGGGCGATCGCCGCCAACACAGAGTCGGGCACGGAGATGATGGGGCTTTGCCCTGAGCAGCGCTTCCTCGTGGACGCCCACATCGATCAGGACACGCTGGTCACTATCTACAACGCGGAGCTTTCGGCCGCTGGGCCATTGCCTCGGCTTCATTTGGACAATCATGCGGGATGGATCGCCCATTTGAAGCCCACCCATGGGGCTTTCTTCCAGCTCAAAGAGCTCTGCGCCGGTCTTGGTGGCTTCTCTCAGGGAGCCAACTTCGTGGGAATCAAAACGGTCGCCTGCCTCGACCACAGCCGGCTGGCATGCGATGCACTTCGGCTCCAGGGCCATGAGGTGGTGCATGCCCAGATGGAGGACATGGAGGCGCTCTTCAAGTTCCACCAAATCGGATTGGCTCAACCATGCCTGCTTTCGGCAGGCTTTCCATGCCAGCCATACAGTGCCCAGGGGGACCAGCAAGGAATGCGTGACAGCCGGGGGCAAACACTGATCTCCATCTTGAAGGCCTCCTGGTATTTGCAATCCGTGGGCCTCATCCTGGAATGCGTGCACAATGCCCGACACAATGTGGACGTGCAGAACCTCCTCGCGCAATATGCCAACTTACGAAGATGGCAAGTACACCACGTCACCCTTGACCTGCAAGACCAATGGGCCAGCAAGCGCAAGCGATGGTGGTGCATCATGATCCCAAAAGACTCACGAGTGCCCTTTTCTATGCACCCGTGGCCCAGCACCAATCCTTTTCCCAACGTGGGATCAGTCATTCAGGAGTGGCCTGTTTGGAGCAATGCTGATGAGTCCAACCTTCAGTGGACATCGGAGGAGGAGCAGAAGTACGGCGATCCTCAGTATGGCAGGGATCTGCGCCACCTCAACACAGCAGCACCTGCACCAACGGCATTGCACTCGTGGGGGGTGGCCTTACAGGCCTGTCCTTGTGGATGCCGATCCGGGCCGCTCTCCGACACCCGACTGCGGCAACACGGCCTCCGTGGATTTTCGGTCATCTCCAGCAGCACCGGCAAGAAGCGCTTCCTGCACCCGGGCGAAGCAGGTTTCCTGAACACCCTGATGCCTTCAACACCCCTCCCTGGACCGGCCAGGCATGCTCTGTGCCTAATCGGACAACTGGCAGCACCCTTGCAGGCGGTTTGGGTTTTCGGCCACATCGTCAACTGGGTTATCCATATCAACACTGGACGCCCAAAGCGCTCGCCAGTTGGAATGATCCAGGAGTACCAACACAAGCTCCTGCAAGACCGGCTTCTATGCTGGACCACACCGTCCATGTTCATGCCGCGCACCCTCACCCTCACTGAGGATGGAGAACCCGATGCCCTGATCACGCTAGACAAGCCAACTACTCTGGCTCAGCTCAAGAAGGCTGAAACCTCGCTCCAAGGGTGGGGAGCAGCAATCCGTGTCTACCCAGCCGGTTACAACAAAACCGACAATGAGCTGATCACCAGCGCAACAGACCGGCTTGAGTGCGCAGTCAGCCGCTCCACCAAACGCCAGGTACGCAACTACTACGAGACGGCTTCCTCCACTCGCCTCCGGGCAGCCGGACTGGCCACAGCCGACCAGACTTGGGATGACCTTGCGGTCCTCACCAACATCCACAATCTCATCAACTACAACGCCTGTCTTGATCCCCGTCCATGGACCGTCATCACGCCACACCAGGCACACGCACTGCTTGGGAACACCACTGTCCATTCTCGCGTCCACGACGACATCCGGGTTCCCCACACGGATCGCCTGGTCATTATTTTCCCTTGCAACCAGCACTGGACGCTGCTCACTTGCGAGCAGGAAAACAACCACACCCTGGCCACTTGCTGGGACAGGCCAGACTCACCAAACACAGCAGCTGCTCTCAAGCTTGCCACCGACCTCACAGCTATCTACGATTGGCCACCCATCCACTTCCAGCAACAACATGTCTTCGGCTCTGCCTGTGAAGGAGACTGTGGCGCAATTGCTGCTGCCCACTTTGGGTGGCACCTCCAACTGTGGGACCACATTACTCAAGCCCACCTCAGACGATGGCACCACTCCTTCGCCACGCTTAGCCAGCCTGGTGAACTCCGAGCAGGCGGCCCGCTCCTACCCAGCACACACTCCGAACTCAAAGACATCCTCATCTCAAAAGGAGTCCCAGAAGACGCCGCGCAGGACAGGACCGACCAGGCAATTGCCAAGCTCGGCACTGGGCCCATCCAAAAGGCCCTGAAAGACAAAAACTGCTGGCAAGCACTCAAAGCATTAGCATCCAGACCGGCTACCAGGTTCCGCTGGATTCTATACGACGAACTACAGGACCACATTGCATCACGGGCCAGCTCCGAACACGGAGCGTACATCCCAGCAGCCAAAAACAAAAAAGCCAAGCAGGGCTACAAGCCTCACAACCAGCCCGAACTCCACGTTGATCCCAACCAGCTCATCGTCCCCGACGGCATCTTCACAGATGACGAGGACAACAAAATCAGCCAGATTCCTCTTGCTGAAGTCAGCGCCAACAAGAGAGGCTTTGCCATCACTACAGTCGCCGATGCTATGCACTTCATCAACGACGCCCAGAGCATTTCCACGGATGCCCTTGCCATCATTACTACCTCTGAGCTCCCCACGCAGCCCACTGTGCAGCAAGCCGAAACCATTCGGTTCCCGGCGGTCTACACCGGGACCAACGAACCTGTCCTCCTGACAGGGAGCCTCATCCAGATCGGCGACATGACGGTCAAGCGAGTCACCAAATCCGCCGAACCCCTCCAGGATGAGATCGCCACAGCTACGATTCGGGTCAGCGTCTTTGCCGACGAGTGCCCTCACGACTGGCAGGCTTTCGTCAAAGCCCCGATCAAGTCCATCGTCAAGAACACGCCACTGCTCCAGAAGTGCCCAGAAGCATCCTGTAGCGGCAGATGTGGCAAATTCCACCCGGCCATCGAGGAACCCGTCGACTATGTCATACAAGACGTGTGGGCTTGGACTTATGCCTCGGCAGATGGAAAACGGACTGCCATCGAGCACTGTGTCCTCTTCCATGCGCACATCCGGGTACCAGAATCAGCCAGCCCACTCCTCCAGACCGTCTCTGGCAACAACGGCACTTACTTCGATCCACGTGCCCCTGATGGCAGAGCCATTGACCCACGATACACCGTGATCTGGCTGCCAGGCGCCAACATCCAGGATGCCAAACACCGGGCTCGCACATGCGACTCTGCCTTGGCCATCACTCGGCTCGGCAACAAATTCGGCATTCGCGTCCAGGAGCAGGACGAGAAAAGCGCTTTTGCCCAACTCCGACCCGGACACGAATATGTGCAGGTCAAGATCCAAAGCATCTACCGACTTTTTCCCCTGCCACACGGGATTCAGCGCAATGGCATCACCCAACTTCTGACACAGTGGGGATGGAGTGCGCGCCCACTCCAATCCGGACGCGGCTCAGCAGAAGGAGCAACCTGGGAAGTCGGTGCAGCCGCAGACCCACCCAGCTGGGTACTCCCTGGAATCGGCAGCGAGGTCATTGTCACCAAAGTCAAAGACGTTGGTCCAAAATCCAGCAGCAGTTCTACCTTGTGCGCCACTGGGCGCACCAGAAAGCATATCCAGCAAGGAGCCACCTCCAACCCCACCACTGCCGGCCCTCAACAGGACCCATGGCTCCTCGGCGGCGATCCATGGGCAAAATGGCACCACGCCAGCGGGGACATCACCATGTCACCAGTCGTCCCGCAACAGTCGGCCACCAGCTCCAAGAAAATCGACCAACTCGGCACGGCCCTCAAACAGGACATGCAGGAAGCCATACGCACGGAGGTAGCTAAAAACGCGGATGCCTCGAAGCTCATGCAACTCGAGGTCAGTGTCCAAGAGCTCCGCGACCAAGGCAAACGCTTCGAAAACTGGTTCCACGAGGTCAGCCAACATGGCCAGAAGCAGGGAGAAGACCTCAAGCTTCTGCAACAGGTCGTCACACAGCAGCAAGGCGACCTCACCGAGGTCAAACAACAAATCCGCAGCCAGGGAGACGCGCTCCAAGCCGCTGTTGGCAACATCAAGCACGACCTCTCCTCCCAGATCGACACGCAGTTCCAACGCTTTGAGGCCCTACTGGCCAAAAAAGCACGCACCGATTGACTAAGTCAGCCCGGATCCCGGAAGCGACCCTCCGGGAAGCCGGCTATGATCACAGGTCGCACCAGTCGCCTGATCCCCACCGCTGTGCTTTGGATTTCGCAGCTCTGCTCTTGCGCGGCTACGCCCATGCCTTACCTAGGAGAACCCTGTGCCCTGCTCTACTATAACAGCGCGAAGGTTTCCGGTCTGGAAACCTCTTGCGAGTCTGGGTCCGGGGGACACCCATGGGAGGGCAACCACAACCGGCACGCAGTGTGCCTTGCAACTGCTGCCAACGACCACCATCATGCTCGCCTCTATCGAATCGGGGAAGCACACAACCCTGGACCAACCTGGCCGCTCCCTCCCACTGAGGAGCTTCTGGCTGTGGGTACCACAAACCCCTCGGGATTGAACGGCAAGGAGGACCTCCAAATCCAACAAGGCCCAGGAATTTGGCATCTCGCCGAAACACAACTGTCCCATGTCACGGGACCCATTGTGCGCAGAAAACTCGCGCAGCTCGGCCGTGCCCAACAGCGGCAGGTCCGATGCATTGAGGGTGCTCCTGCTCCGCTCAGAGCGCACTCCCACTGGGCTGGATCATGGACTGGAGTGCTCATCGCTACAGACCTTCCAGCACGACCCCTCACTCTGCCCTGGGACGCCGGCGTCTTTGAGACCGGCAGAGTCACCACGGCCAGGCACATCTTCGACGGTGTGCCTATCACTACGACCGCCGTATACGGCTTCCCACCGGGCCCAACTTACCCGGACGCCCGTGCTCTCACAGATCGCCTGTTAGCCACCATCACACGTGAAATAGTGGTCGGACTCCAAGGAGTCCGGGTGGTGGCTGGAGACTTCAACCACGATGAGTCTACCCTACCACAAATCGCCCTCTGGAAGCAACACGGCTGGGTAGAGGCACAGCAGCTTGCCTTGGCCCTTTGGCAGCAACAGCCCCAGCCAACGTGCAAGGGTGCCACCCAACGGGACCTGATCTTTCTTTCGCCCGAGGCAGCCGCCTTGACACAACGCGTCCGAATAAAAGACGTTTACATGGAACACTCCTCGGTCATCGTCGATCTGTGGACCAAGGCCCAGCAGCAACAAATTCGAAGGTGGCGACAACCAGCCGCCATCCCATGGGGCTCCATCAACATCCCAGGATGGCACTCCGCCAGCCTTGCATGAACAGGAGACTGCGTGCCAAGCCTGAGACAGAACCCACAACAAAGACCTGCCTCGCCGCTGCAAAGGGCGTGCCAAGTGGACAGAACCTGAGCAAGTCCACACCACGGCGCATGCCATCAAATCAAGCCGCCCAGGTGAGGAGATCATCATGTCCAGCCTTGCCGGCACTGCTGTGCGGCAATGGTGCAAGCAACTACGACGACTCCAGAGCTATCTCCACTCACTCCGATCCAACGTGACCAGCATCAACTCCTCCCTCTACCGCGCTCAGCTCTGGGGGGCCATCACTAGGAGCTCTGGCTTTCGCGGCGGCTTTCACAACTGGTGGCCCAATCGGCAGCTGCAACTTCAAGGCAGCCCATGTAGACTGCCGTACTCACCGCCATCACTCCCCGTTGCTATCTTGATCTTTCAGGACTACCGCTCCAACTTCCGCAAATTCGAGGCCTGGCATCTACACCAACGACGCCAGGCTATCAAGCTCAAATACGACGAGCAAAGTGGAGCTCTCTACCACTACATTCGGGAGGACAGACAACCGGCCATCGACACGCTCACGATCGCTCGGGACTACACCATTTTGGCTGTAGACACGGAAAACAATTTTGTGCACCTCGACAAGGACATCTGCACCAGGGGCAATTCGGTCTGGTCCCTCCATGGAGAACCAGCCCATGTACAGGCCATTGCCTCTGATGTCGCCCAGGTCGACACCGACCGGCTTCTTTGCCCAGGGCACGGCATTGAGCAGGACTCCTTTGTCACTCACATCAATGACATCCACTCAGAGCTCATCGACCTCTGGACTTCACGTTGGAACACCTCAACCCGGCTATCCAACGAAGAGCTTACGAGAATTGCCAGCTTCGTCCAAGCCTACATCCCCAAGGGCCACTTCCCATGTGAGCCCATCACGGTCTCTATGTGGGACGACACCCTCAAGAAGTACCGCCCACACGCTGCTAAAGGAGCCGACGGATTTGCACTCCAGGACCTCCGCCAGATGCACCCGGGCCACAAGCAGCAGCTTGTCAAATGGCTCAACAGCCTCGAGGACGGCCAAACCACTTGGCCCAAACAGCTACTTCAGGGCACAGTCAGCTGCATCGCCAAGACCGCCAACTCCAAAGCAGCAGACAGTTACCGCCCAATCGTCATTTACAGCCTGATCTACCGCACTTGGGCGGCAATCCGCTCAAAGACCATCCTCAAGGGCGTCAGCCACTTGATCCACGACACAGCATATGGTTTCATGCCTGAAAAGGAGGCCATGCAATATGTCTTCGCCATGCAAGCACTTGTTGAGCTTAGCGCCCAAGCCGACCACTCGGCCGACGGACTTTGCGGATTCGCAGTCGACCTGCAACGCTGCTTTAACAACCTTCGCAGGGAACCAGTCGCCCTCATCGCGAAGGCCCTTGGCATCTCGGACAAGGTCCTCAATCCCTGGCTTGACTTTTTGCACAACAACCAGCGGCGCTTCGTCGTCCGGGGCAGCCTATCCTCCCCCATCGGATCTTCTGTCGGATTCCCCGAAGGATGCCCTTTGAGTGTTGCTGCCATGACGATGATCAACCTCAGCTTCCATCTCTACATGCAGGCATTTGCTCCGTCGACCTCAGCATATAGCTATGTTGACAACCTTGCGGCCACAGCCTACTCCCCTGCTACGTTAGCAAGAGGATGGTGTGCTCTGGAAAGCTTCTGCAATATGCTCGCCCTGCCGATCGACTACGACAAGTCCTTCGTGTGGGCCGCATCGGCTACCGACAGAAAATCGCTGCAGTCCTTCCCTTGCCGCACGGTCCGCAACGCGCGAGACTTGGGCGGCTGCATGACATACGGCAGCTCCCTACGCAACGCTGGTCTGGTGGACAGATGCCGCGGTCTCTCCGGCAAATGGCAGGCGCTTCGACGTGCGCCAGGCCCCCTGGAAGTGAAAGCCAGAACCCTGTGGACATGCTTCTGGCCGCGAGCCCTACATGGGATCGTCACTTGCCTCTTGGGCGAACAGCACATCCGGCGGCTTCGATCAGCAGCCGTAGCAGCTTTGAGTCTGAAGTGTGCAGGAGGCAATCCCATGCTGAGACTCACGCTTGCTTTACCTTTTCAAGCCGACCCCGGATTCTACCAAGCCCTCACGGTCTTCAGGGACTTTCGCCGGATTTGCCGCAAACAGCCAGCTCATGTCAACGAGTGGGCGCAATTCATGCGACAGTTTGATGGGCGCCTACTACCAGGACCTTTCTCCAAGCTGCTAGAAATCTGCGACCCGCTCAAATGGACGATCAACACTGTCCCCTATATCACCGACCATGACGGCCTTCACTTCAACTTTCTCACACGCTCGTCCAATGAGCTGACGAGCAGGCTTGAAGATGCGTGGGCGCAGCGTACTGCGCAACAAGTACAGCATCGCAACTCCATGAGCGACCTCAACGGCATCGACCACGCCTGCTCTACACGCCGGCGATCCAAGTACACACCACTCCAGGCGCGACTGGTATCAGCAGTGCAGGACGGGTCCTTTCGTGCTCCCGCTCATCATGCTCGATACGATCTGACCAAGAGCGCGCAGTGCCCACTATGCCTTGTCCCGGAGGACTACAAGCACCAGGTATGCAACTGCCCACGCTACAGGACCTGCCGTGCAGAGGACCAGTGGGTGGCCGACATGTGGGACTCTCTCCCAACCTGCGTCAGCCACCATTTGCTCGTCCCGAGAAACCCGTTTTTTGCCGGCATCAAGGAGCAGCTCCACTATACAGCTGACAGCTCTGGCGAGTTTCATCTCGAACCTGATGGCGCACAATTACAGCATGTTTTTACGGACGGTTCATGTTTTGGCCACCAAGACTCGCAGCTTGCATTAGCAGCCTGGGCGGCCATCGCACCGGATCGTGGATGTATCGCAGCAGGACATTTGTCAGGTACAGTACAGACAATCAGCCGTGCGGAGCTGACAGCAGTTATTAGCGCCATCCGGTGGACTATCAAACACAACTGCCGTACATGCGTTTGGTCGGACTCACAGTCTACCGTGCACGGAATTGACGCGCTGCTTCATGAGCCCACCGAAGCCCCGTCAGGTGAAAACGAGGACCTTTGGCACGCCGCAGCAGACTTACTCAGAACCGCAACAGCCGGGACTTTTCAGATTCGCTGGATCCCATCACATCTTCAGGAAGCCGACTGTGAATCCCCTTTTGAGGAATGGGTCGCATGCGGAAACAATCAAGCTGACCATGCCGCCGTTACAGCCAACCGGAACCGATCTGCTGATTTTGTACACTTGCACAACCAGGCCAAGCAGTTCTTCAAGCACTGGGCCGGAATCTGTGATGCGCTGGAGCGCATTTACCTTCGCATCGCACAATGTACCCGTGCTCAGGGCGAGAACCTGCAAATCGACGAACAGGAAGAACCTGATCCAGCTGAACAGCCCGGTGGGCCTCATGTGCAATGGCATGACCGCCAAGGCATTTGGGCCGATCACCTGCCTGAGGACTGGACCTCATTTGGCGAGACAAAGCTGCTGGACCTTCCCAGTAGCTTTCTGCGGCAGTTCTTCGAGTGGCTCTTGGCCCTTGATGGGCAAAGCGAAGCTTGCGTGGATGTCAGCATGTTGGAATTAGTTTTGCTTTACCAGCACGGAGCTGGCCAGGCTTTTCCCATTGCCACACCTGATGGCAAGTATGAACATGCGACGCATGTCGCTCCGTTCGCCAGGCCTACCGTTGCTAGCCACCTGCGGTTGGTCAACCGCGTTTTGACCGCGTTTGCACGCCACTTTTCGTTGGAGGGCTTTCTTTCTTCGGGGATTGATCGCTCTTTTTTGTCGGTGCACCCTCCACAGAAAGGTGTGCGGATCGGCTGTGACCTGCACAGCATTAGCGCCATGAGACAACTCACGGCGGTTTTCACGGCCACGCGACCCATACGGGTCAGCGCGGACCTGGCACGGCCTGCCTAAAGGCATGACAGACTCCGCTCGCTGCACTGCGCCAGCCGTGCACGAGCGATTGCGCAAGTTGGAGTATATTTCTTACTTGTATATGTATATATATATATATAAGCATGAATATGTGTATGTATATATATTTATATATGCACCGAAAGAACTCGCTTCTTGCAAAGCAAGAATCCCTTCCACCACGGCGTCCAAAGGTACGCCTTCGATTCTTCGGCTTCGCGTCACCTTCGGTCCCGGCCCAGAAGCTGGGGGATGGTCTTGCCTGCCAGCGTCGGGCCGCCTTCGGCCCAACCCGCGGGCGTTGCAGCAACCCAGGGCTTCACATGGCTGTGGGTCAAGAAATAGTACCCCGAATGGGGCACTGGTAAATGTAACCCAGGACTAAAACCTGCGGTCCCCTGGTGGTTTAATTTTGACCCATACCCACATCGTCGGTTTAAGCCACCAGTGGTTGTGGGTTGGAGACGTGAACCAGTGCTTACGTTCATGGCTCAAAAAAATGTAACATGGCGCCTTGGGGAATGAAACCAAAGACTACAACCCTAACCCTAGCTCTTGGATTTTGAGCCAAACATCTTTAAACAAATAGGCCACTCTCTCCTTTTTGGCCTCCCTTTGAGGGTCTCTTCAAGAAACTTCATGTTGGGCTCCCTTCGAAGGGCCCAGCCCGGCCTGTGACCAGCGCCACGATGTTTACCAAGAAGGCGGCCATGAAGAACAGCGTCAGCAGCTTGGTGGGCAGATTCATCTCATCCCAGGCCACCAGCAGCTGAGCCTTGCGTTCGATCGATTTTGGCGGCCAAATGATCTGAGGTAGTCGAGAATCGGCGCATCATCCGTACCATCCGCGTCATCTCAGAGCAGACAGCGCAGACGGCGCAGATGGTGCAGACGGCGCAGGTGGCGCAGACGACGCAGACGGCGCAGGTAGCGCAGACAGCGCAGATGGTGCAGACGAGATGCAGGTGGCGCAGACGACGCAGACGGCGCAGGTGGCGCAGACGGCGCAAATGGCGCAGACGGCGCAAATGGCGCAGACGGCGCAGGTGGCGCAGACGGCGCGGACGGTGCAGACGGCGCAGGTGGCACAGACGACGCAGATGGTGCAGAAGTGCAGACGCTGTTTCCATGTGGACCCCAAGAGGATGTTGCTTGGCATCTCTGCGGCCAATGTTGATGACGCAAATCATCACTATCATTCTCAGCACCAGCACCACCAGCATCCCTGCCAGCTTCTGTTAACAAACCCATTCGACGCATGCTTTCAAAGCTGCATCGTCATGTTCCCTGCTATGTTGAGCCGTGTTTGTAGGCAGGGGGCCCCCAGATTGCCCACAAAAACCGGGGTCCCCATCTGTCTTTTGGCCGCACCAATGTTTTTTCTCCGAGGTCTCCCTCCAAGATTGGATGCCTTGCTTTTGGCTTCCCTTCACAACCTCAGGAGGGTATCCAAACATTGAATTGCATCAAGCTTGCAAAAGGTTGCTTTTGTCCATGCTTGCAGCTTCCCCAGGCTCAACTGAATTTGTTGGACCCCAGATGGGTGTCCCAAAAACTGCCTCGAAGTGCATCAAATTCGCAGTAAGAACCAATTTTCCAACCAAGTACGGTGAGCCGCGAGTGCGTCCTCCTGCCTTTTGAGAGTGAATTTCCAAATTGATTATAATGACCGCCGGAGCTTCAAGATTAAGCAACTGGCCTACACGTCTCCTACTCCACACACGCACGAACAATGTTCAAAGGACATGTTTTGCAAACAAGCCCGAACACGCCAGAAATCCCGGAAAGAAGAAATCTGGATTTCGCAACCGAATCAAACAAGAGCCGTCAAGTAAGGCAGACCCGATTTCCCACCACCACTTCGCGTTGCGCCCCTTCTCAGCAGGGAGTAAGGGCATGACCCCTTCCAAACAATCCAACCGGTGGCATCCTTTGAAGATGAACCACCCTTTGTGGTTCCTTTGAACCAACCCACAATCGACCGCGAGACCGTGGTGAATCACGGTAAGCTAGCGGGTGTCTTGTACCTTACCTGCAACGTTTAGGGTATCTGTATCAACCGAATACCAAAGCGCCTCCGCAAGCTCCGAATGCGCTGAAGGTGGCGCCAGCTGCGCCGCCCCGGCCGGAACCGGCGCCATGGTCGCGGGGAGGACGAAGGCGCTGACGCCTCGCGCTGAAGGAACCCAAGAGTACTCCGATTAACCAAACAAAACCCCAAATCGCGTCAAGAGGGAACCCCAAAATGCCATTTGTGGGGGAATCCTTCTTGCGGGAAATTCCATTTGTAGAGGAATCTCATTTCAAGGGAGTCCGCAGACGGATGGGCTTTCCTTCCGCTTCGAAACAAACCGCAAAGGTCACCGTTTTGAGGTCTGCGCACTGCGACTCACGCGAACTCGTTTCGCCTGCGGCCGCCAAGGCCAACGTGAGCCCACGACACGGCGAGGGCCGTGCGAAGGCCGCACCCGCCACAGCCATGGCCGGCCACGTGACGCAGTGACGCGGCGACGGGCAACACGGTGACCGGATCAAGTCGAAAGTAGCGAAATGAATTGGCCAAGTGTTTGGTAACCACACTTTGAGCTGACCCTGTAAAGCCGTGCAGCGAGGAGTACTCAGGCTATCCAGGAAGTTGATCAATGCAAATCTGGCCAGAACTCTGCGGCAAACCTCAAGCGAGTGTGTCCTAAACTGCTAACCTCCAATTGACCACGCCTGCAAATCCATGTTGGCAATTTCATGGAAAGAAGGATAGCAAAGTCGGCTCATGACGGTGCCCAGTCAGAACCGACATGCTAAGCGGGTTGGATGTCCGGGTGAGCAAAAACAATGAATCAGAATCCCGAAATTAGGAATCCCCAAAAGGTGAACCTTTATCTTGTGGGAAACCTGGGAAACCTTGTTGAATCCGAGGTGTCTCCGAACTGGCTGGTTTCAGCCTGGCTTCCCTACAAAACAACCCCAACAAGGGTGGGGAACCCAATCGAGACGAGATGTTTGAACTGTTCGGGGCAAAACACCGCCTACCAATCACAGGGTTGAATACATCCGCTGACCCCGGGGGGTCAGCGGTTTGCATTGGTGGTTTGGAGGTAGTCAAACCACCAATCTAAACGAGTGTGCCTTTTGTTAGGGACCCCCTAAACGGTGGGGATGTCCTTTTGGTTTCACCAATTAGGGGTAAGGCGAGCGCAGGTGCTCTGCCGGCGTCCTTTTCGGCGGGTCGAGCACTGGCTCATCCAGCCCACGAGTTTTGCCCGGAGGAATTCTCACCTTTGGCGCTCACAAAGGGCATGCCTGTTGACCAGATCTCTTACCCGCCTGAAGAGATAAGAAGAATAAGTGTCGCTGTGTTGAAGATCAAGGGTAATTACCTCGTTTGGTTTGGAAATGACGGGGACCAGTCTGTTTCTTGTTTCCCTCCCAATGCAAGGGAGGTCCTTCTGCCGAATGATTGCTTGGCATACCTCGAAGAGGAACTGACGAGAGGTGCTTCTCTAAGGCAGTCTTGGGACCTTGGGGACATCAAGGTACCCCTAAGGAGCTCCTGCCCTTGTGGGGGGTCCACGTGTCCAAAAACCTCAACCACAAAACCAGGGACAAACCTACTTTTCCCAGTCAAGGCGACTGATCAAAAGGCACACCCTGTCACTTTCAGGCAAGGGCGGGCAACAGGGCGCTGTGCGCAAATGAGCTAGTTGCTTCTTGCCCATGAAAGTGGCCTGGAGGTCACGCGGCGCTTGTGAGGTCGCTACATGCGGACTCGACTGCAAACTTCGACCCGCCGCCCGAAAAGTCCCAGAGCCGCCCTAGCCCTTCTGCGCAAGAGGTACCCCGGGCACAAAGCTTCGGAAAATCGGGGGGTCACTCGCCTCGGCGTGAGCGAGCCATGGGCGCAACTGCGAGCTGGTGAAATACCAATCAGATGTCCCGATTTGCGACTGAAAAGGGGCTTGACGTTTAGACAAGAGGTGCCCTTGAGAAAGTCAATGCCGTATTTCCCTTAGATGCTCTAAACAAGGTTGAGGGGAAATCGGGGCGATTCAACCCGAGCCATCAAGAAATCAGCCCAGCCAAGTGCTTCCTTGGGTTTGCTCCACCTCAAAGAGCGGATTTCGAATGGATCATTGATGTGGGTGTGCATGGGGGGCCCAGCAAGGCCCCCCTTTTAGCTTACCTTTTCACACAGCCCTATTGCATGATGTCGTTGCAAGACTCTCTCTCCCTCTCTGCGTGCTAACCCCCTAACAAGACATTTCCCCTATAAACATCACCCCACCCAAAGGAAACTCAGCCGAAAAGATCATGTTCGGACCATCCAAGGGGAAGTATAGACGTCTGCCTCCAAACTGCTTGGCTTCCCTTTGATTCGCCCTCTAAAACCGAAAACAAACACCCCGCTTTGCAAAACGGGGTGACCGAGCCCTCAAACAAAACGAGTCTCCGAGGCAACCGCTGGCTCGCGGCAGCTGGTTGGACTCGCCTGGAACACGCCCAGAGCGGGGGGGTCTGCATCCCAAAAGCCAACCGAGGTTCTGAGTGAATTATAATATTTCCCCAACCTGAAATAAGGTGGTTGGGGGGCTATTCCCCACATAAACCACCATTTGGGGTGAGGTTGTTGTAATTCACCCAGTTGGTTCCTTGACGTTTTGACAACCCGGGTTCATGAACCAGGGTTCGCCGGGGTTGGGCGGGGCTGGGCCTGCAACTTGTTCAACAAGATTTGCCCAACCCTGGTTGGCATTGGAGAAAGGAACCCAGAGCATGGACTCCTAATCACTCATGGTTGCATCCGGTATCCTTGGTCTACGACACAGGAAACCTCCAGCATCTGGCACAAGGATCTTGCGGAGTGAGTCTGAACACCAAGAATGACCGCCTGTTCACCCTGACGTCCTCCCAGTTCACCCCCAAGAGCTGATTCGTGTTAACCAACGCGTGACGCGAACTGCGAGACGCATTTCAGCCACGGGGCGCAGCAACCCGGCGAGCTCCTCGTCGCTCAGGGGGCAGCCTTCCCTCGCGACCAAGCTGGCGGTGTGGGGAGGAGGGGGGTCCTTTATCATCTTGGACACCCCATTGAACGGCGCCACGTTGAATCTTCGGGGCTTCAGGGCAACCATGCAGGAGCCTGCTCTTTTTTCTTGTGGAATGGCGCTGATGAATGATGCCGATCAAACTGAAAGCGGCTCAACTAAAGTGAATAAAGGATGCTCCCCTCTCGAGTAGTCTTTGCAGCGTTCCCTGAAAAGCTCAAATGGGAGCGGATGTGGATGAGTAGGCACTCAGATGGCCAGAAACTAGCTAAGTGGTTAGCAACCCTCCAATCCTCAGTAACCCACAGTGAAACCCCCCAGAAAACCACTCTGCAAACCCATGTGAAAAGAGCTAGCGGTACCAACCAGTGGCCCCGAAGCGCCCAAGATCCAGGAGGGGCGCCGGCAGTTTCTGGTAAAAAAAATGAGAACGCTCCACTTCCACGGAAGCACTTCGCCAATGCGCATGGCAAGACCGGCATCACATACAAAGCATCAGACCTCATGGACTCCTGTCGTGTACGCCTTCAGGGCGGACCCCGTGCTTGCGCCAAACTATACAACCCGCTCAAACAGTTGATGCATAAAAGGTTCTGTACGCCAAACGGGCCAGGTTTGCCAGCTTATACATGGCAAAAGAGGGGGCCGGCTTTCTAACAAATTGAGTTGATGCAACCCCGGGGATCCCTAGCGCCAAACCCGACACAGGGTATTCGCCCTTTGGCCCCGCGCTCGTCGTCCAGCATCCTCGCGAAGGCCAGCAAATCCAGGCCCTGACGCAACAAGGTCATGGTGGCCGAAGCGGGGGGCCCTCTAAAACCTAAAAGCACACAGTTGTGTTTGTTTTTGTTTCGACCTCTAAACGCTCATGTCGACTTATAGAAACCAATATGCATTTTTTGCGGCTCATGAACCAAGTGCCAAACAAGCTGGGGACCCTCCAACTACGGTAAATGCTTGAGGACCCTTATAAGTGGTGGGTTTCCTGGGGGTTCCCTTGCAGCATTGAGAATCTCTCTGGTGTCCTTGCAACAAACACCTCACACTTAGTATCTCTTTCAACAACCTCCTAACGGGAGTCCCCACTATGAGCCCAATTAACTTCCTGTTTGGCTACCGTTCAAAATCGTGCCCAAATAGGGACCGAGCTTTGACGCGGGTCCGGTGATCTACCAGAGCCTCTTTTGGCAGGTGATTGAAGGGAAACCAAACCCATGTTCAGGGGACGGCATGTCAAGCAATCACTACATGATCAGTGCTATAAGTAACCAAGGTTACCACCTACAAGCCTCAAGTGGAGTAAAGCTGAATCTCACCTACAAGCTGGTTGCCGAGCCAAGTTGGAGTCATGGAAGTGCCGCCTTGAAACGATACTTGTTGGCATCCGATCAGTCTTCTTGGGCTCCAAATTTGTGGCTTCTTAGCATTCCTGAAAGACTGATGCAGTCCTCACATAGCCGTCTTCCAGCACCCTCCAACCAGTTCTTTCGGCCTCGAAATATGTGGAGCATCCTTTCAAAAAGGACCTGTGCCCGGGCTCATGTGAAGCCCAAGAACACAAGACGTAAAAACTGAACAGAGGAGAGTACCCCGGCGAACCCCGAACCTGAGGGTTTTTTTTTCGTGGGGGAAAGTTCGGGTTCGGGTTCGGGTGGGGTGGGGTACCTAATGAAACTGAAGGGTGGTTCATTAATTTCCCTGGGCTTTCCTTTCTACCTTGCAGTAGTTCTCGGGCTTGATTCTCATTCACTTCAGAAACCACCCATGTTGCTTCTGTGCATTCTTCTGAGAAAGGAATGGTTGGGAAGCATATATCTAGAATCTCAGAGTAACCCTTCTGGGGTTACTCTCAAGGGGAATCCAAAAATAAGTAGACCCCACTCCATGGCAGAATAAACTTGAGTAATCCAAGCAAGGAACCCTGACCGTGGGTTACACCTATCATCATTGGGCCCAGCCGATCCATGTCTACCTGAACAATTACCCCCAAATGATGGTTCCCTTTTGGTTGGGCGTCTTCAGTTCCTGTTTTGAATGGCAAAAATTGGCTCATATCTTGAGCAGGCACTTGCATTCCTAGCCAAATAGCCTACGAAATTAACCCGACATTCTGCAACAGAGTAACCAAATGTCCAACCCATACAACACCCCCCATCAGGAAACTCAAATGTATCGGCGCAAAACCAAAAGCTTAGCTTTCAAACCACCCCTGAAGGAGGAACATGGGGAGAACTGCTGGGTTTCAGAGAAGCTCTGGTCACGCAAGGAGGGCAGAAGATCAAAACATCTGTCAACTGCAAATCGTTTGGCCAAGACATGGAAGGTTGTCTCAATCGACAAAGAAGCGTCTGTTCGGCGCTCCCAAAAATATTGTTGGGAGCGCCTGTAGCCTTCAAAACGTATTTCAACGGATGGAAAGTCAATCCCATCTCTTGTTTTATCCACCACGGGTCTCCCTATTTTGAGGTTAACCCAATTGACACTGGTTCGCGGTTGGTCTTCTTGCAGCACTTCGGCACTTGAGCTGTCCACTGTATCCCAAACGCGTGGCCAAAATCTCCTGTGTTCGAAGCAAAGAAAGAATTCCATCACACAAGACCTTTCCGCGCTTGTCGGGCCTGAAAGAACCACAATCAGGCCTTTGCAGGACAAAAAAGAAAGACACGTCCCCCGAACCTCCATATGTTTCTTTGTAGTGGTCTTCAATATCACCTTTTGCGATGCTTAAAGGGATAAAACAGAGAGAGCCCTGTCATATTGCCGCTTGATCCAGTCAGCAGGTTTCACTCGTGTCAGCAGGCTCTTCCTCTTTCGCGACTTTTTCTCCGCTATTTCGAGCTCAGCCAGGCCTTGGTGCAGCTTCCCTCTAGTTGGTGGTTTGGATTGGTGGTTTGATGGTTAAGAAAGGGCGTCCCATCTACCCTCTGCAAACGTCAAAGGTTGAAATCCCCAAACCACCCAAATCCAAAGCCACCAATTTGCGGTTAGTTGATTGGTGGGTCAATGTGACCTGCAAAAAACAACAAAGATGTTTGCTAGCAGGTGGGGGGAAGTGACGTTCCTCGGTTTGCCTCGCCTGACACCCCTGAATTGGTCACAACAAGGATCAACCAAGCGGCAAGATCTGTCCTGATTTGGCCGAAAACTTCGAACCACGAGACCATGAGGCACCGCCGCGCCGTGCTCGGGACCGATTCCAGCCGCACGCGGAAGCTGTCAAAGAAAGAATCTTCCTCGTTCGCGCGATTCGCGCTGGCCGGAAGCTTGAACACTTCCCCAGCGACTGTCAGTCGGTGATTCGTGCGCTGCAAAAGTTGCTGCCATGCACCGCCACCGCGCCGTGCTTCAATTGTCCAACGTTCACACACGTCGTATCCCTCTGTGGTTCCATGCTTTAAGCCAATCGCCACTGGACGAAGCACACATCCCTTCAGTGTGACTGTGATCCAGGGGTTCGCCTCAGTACCCGCCGTGCCGAATATTTTCGTATCGAGTTCGAACAAGCAATGCCCCAGGCTCTGAGACGGCTGGGTGATCGGATTGGCTGGGTGCGATGAGGCGAGCGCAACCTCTGGCTTCATTCCCTGGTCTTGCAGGAAGGCGAAAACTCCCGGCATGCCCAAAGGCGCTCCCTGATGCTCAAGCAGACCCTTGGCAGTGAGGTGTGCAAGTGCGCGACATCGCTCCAGCCTTGTGCACCGCTCAAAAACGGCGCGCCGCATCTTCTTTTCCACAGCTGGGCTCCACTTTAAGGAGATCCCTTCTGGGAGCCTTGGTTGCCACACTGGCCAAAAAAAACGTAATGAGCCAGCATCAAAGCTACTTGTCTGGGGTGTATTTATTCCGGCGTTACTGTATCGTTTCTTGTGGATGCCGCGTGTCGTTTTTCGAAAACAGAACAATCGCGGCGACGTCAAATGCAGCTTGTGCTTCCGTGCACTATATGGAGTCCATCAAGGGCACTGCAGAGCAATCTTTACACTTAATCTCTCGTGCTAGGTTTCTGGCGCAAGTGTCCTCGCACGAATTTGCTTGCGCAAGTGCACTCGCGCGAGTTTCCTCGTCGAGCACGCAAATTGCTTCGCGCCAGTGCTCTGTGGAAGTTCTCCTTTAAATTGCTCTCTCCACGTAAGTGCTCGGTGCAAGTTGCTCTGCGCAAGGGCTCTGCGCAAGCATTTTTTGCAAGTTGCACAACCGTGCAAGTCCTCTGGGCGAGTTGCTCTCAAGTATGCTGCGTAAGTTGCTCTGCGCAAGTTGTTCCGCGCAAGTGATCGACACGCAAGTGATCGACGCGCAAGTCCTTCACGCAAGTTATTTTGTGCAAGTTGCTCCGTGAAAGTGCTCTTTGCGAGCTGCTCTGCGCAAGTGCTCTGCGCAAGATGCTCGGCGCCAGTTGCTTTGTACAAGTGAACTATGCAAGCGCTACCTGTGCCAGTAGCTCTGTGCAAGTAATCTATGTAAGCCCGCTCTGCAACTTGTTCTTTGCAAGTTACTCTGCGCAAGTCACTCTGCACAAGCGTGCACGCATTCACGCATGTCCTTTTCTGAGAATGCGATTTCTGGCATCCGCCAGCACCCAAAAAAATAGCGGAGTCCTGAGCTTTTGCACATTGACCGCGAGCGTCGACCGCACATCTCAAAAAGTAGCAAAAGTCCTGCTTTTGCACATTGACCACGCCAATCCCCGCAGAGTGTCGCAAAGGGTCGCGTGAGCAAATCCAAAAATAGCCACAGGTCTTCCGTGTTTGCACCTCGACCCTGCGCGCCTAAAAGTACAGAAAGTCCCTATTTTTGCACCGACTCCTGCAGAGGGTCGCGCGCGAAGCCTACAAAGTAGACAAAGTCCTCTGTTTTTGCACATCGATCCCCGCAGAGGGTGCAATTTCTCTTGGAATGGGCTCGGTCCCCCACACCGCCTTGAAAGATAGTTTTAATCTCTCGTAAGTTTTCTCGGGCAAGTGCCGCCATCCTTGTGCCAGCGCGTTTGTGCAAGCATCCTCGTGCAAGTGTGCTCGTGGAAATTTCCTCGTGAAGTGTGCTCGTGCGAGTTTTCTCGCGCAAGTGTGCTGGTGCAGGTTTTCTCGTGCAAGTGCGCTCGTGGAAATGGGCTCATGCGAACTTGATCGTGCAAGTGCGCTCGTGCAAGTTCACTAGCATTCTTCCGGGAGAACCCTTCGCAATGGTTTCGGGAAAAACAACACGCGCATGAAACACTCCTACATTAAGTAAATGATGGTAAGCGTGAAGTTCACTCCAATGAGGTCGCAACCACCAATGCCGAGCATGTGTTGAACAAGAAACCGAGAACTCAAAAGGCTGCTGCACATGCCAGCGACGCCATCCAGGTCAGATCCCCTTCATGCGCAGCGTCCAAAGCTTTGCTAGGCCATGTCTCCCATCTGACAGTATCCAACCACCAGTTCTCTGGCAGCGAGTCTTGTTGGCAGTGCCCCTGGTACCACTGAATGAGACGAAACCGGTCAAACTCAGTGAGGACCGGCGCATGCTTCAGAAACAACACCACGTTGGGCACTTTGGCTACTGAAAGTTCACTTATCCAGGCGGAACAATCTGTAAATGGAATGCATTGCGCAGCCACCGTGTCCAGGGCGTCCGGGCAAGCCCAAGCCTTGAAAATTTGTTGGATAATGCCTCAGAAGCCCAGTGGCTACAGGAAAGAGCAGCTGTGTTGGGCTCGTTGATTTGAATGGGAAACTCTTCCCCAAAGACAAAGTCTGCTAGGCAACTACGATGCTCTTCCTGAGACGTTCGACTGCGCCGAGCTTCTTGACCACGTTCAGAAGCTCCTGCATCTCCAGGCAATCCGCCAGCAGCAGCATCTCAATGATCAGCTCCATTGGCAAGGGATCGACCGCGCCATACAGCCATCTCAGCAGCCAGTTCCTCGGAACTGGACCACTTAGATGGTGGGGGGTGAGCTACATGGTTCTTAGGTTGAAGGGTGTAAAGGGGTATAACTCAACGACCTCCTGCGCCCTCTTCACAAACACCACCCCGAGCAGAAGGTTGGCTGTGAGAGGTTCAGAGGGAATGACGAAACCTAAAACAGCCACAAGTGCTGACATTCCATGTCTTCTCCCCGCTTCATGGGCAAAGAGATAGATGGAAATCCAACACAATCTCCAAGAGCGCTGCGCATGGTTATGAAAGATCACACTTTCAGTGATTCCAAAGTGGGCAACCCAAACTCAACCATGCCCCACTAGCAAAAAGTTACGCGTGACGATGATTCCCTATCCCTATCTCTGTCATTTGTTATGATTCATCAACGGAAAATACAGGATCCCTGTCAAGAAGCCTTCACCACGGGGCCCGAAAACCCCCCTGGTGCAACGTCGCCAATGCCAACTTCGGATTGATCTGGAGGACCCAACTAACTGGGGTGTCCCTTGTTGTGAGGAATTCCTGTATTGTAGAGGATTCCTCTGGTGAGTATGGTCGTGCTGATTTGCAGGGCTTCCCGATTGACTTTTTAACATCACACCACCCCGAAACGAATGCACAAATTGCTTCAACCGCCCAAGCCTTGGAAATTGTTGTGGCCCTGTGATGAATGCAAAGCTCTCATTCTACCAGAACTACTGTAAGGGCAGTGGGTAGCTTTATTGAGGCCGAAAATAGTCATGATCACTTGAGGAGCGGGTGAACGAAAGCTAGCAGTTGTTGCATGAGATGGGTCGGTGACAGAGTACAACGAGAGGCCCGCAAGATTCGTAGGATGCGACACGCAAACGCACATGGTGGCGTGGCAAACCTTGAAAAATGAAAACAACGAGAGGCGTCAGAAGCTGTCTTAAAGCACCTCTGGGTTCTGCATGCTGCGTGTGCAAAGATTCTTGCGAGGTGGTTTACTGAGAAGACTGAGGTCTCAAATGAACAAGCTGAATCGGTGGAACATGTATAAAAGTTCGTAGCACCAAGTCCAAAACGGGCAAACCGAGACTGCTGAAACACTGAGCCACTGCCCGGGGGGAGGGGTGGACCAAGGAGGAATCGAGCCTGAGACGGGGGGGGGGGTCTAAATAATTGATTTGCTTCAATCTTTTCGGCTCAAATAATTCAAAAATCAATCCTTCGGCAGTTGAGCCCCTTACCTTGCTTACGCAAGGAGAAACTTCAGCTAGCTAAAGCTAGCTTTCGTGACAAGAGCACCCTTGGAATTCTACTTCCTCCAGAACTATGCCGCTCTCCTCTTCAATTCGACGCATTTTTTCTTCCACCCTCAAATACATTACAAGGAAGTTTGGAGCAGACCCCAGCGGTGGGAACAACCTCGGCGACGCCGGACGCAACCTGCCAACCCCTTTCCGCTTCGATGCGTCTCGGCGTCCAGGCGTCCTCGGAGCCAAAGTCCGGCGCCCAGAGCGGGTCCTTGGCGTCCCGGAACTCCGAGCCGAACTTGCCTCGCTCCACCAAACCCAACCGACGCGCTTCGCAAGCCAAAGCGTCAGCTTAGGAAGAAGCTGAAAAAGCGCGAGGTGCACGGTGCACGAACAAAGGATGGCTGTGTATTCAGAACTAGAAACCCAAAAGGAATTCTTAAGCGGGAACGCTCGTCTCAGTGCAAAATGGGTGTGAAAACCAACCTGACAAGGGTGCGGTCAAAAAGGACACACACGGGCAATCTGGTGCCAAACAACATGCCGGAAATATGATGAAAACCTGAAGCAAATCCAAGTGTTCTTAAGAAGGGCACCATGACTCATATGGGGGGGTTGAACCACGGAACACGTGCCAAAAGCTGCCCAAAACGTGCCAAATTGGTGTAAGCAAAGCGAAAAATGCGGAAAAGGGTGCTAAACAAAAAAGGTCTGAAACATGGCTTGAACAACCGTATCTGGCTGGCTCATGGAAACCTCCCGTTTGCTCCTTTGCTCTTTGTTTTGTGGTAAAGTAGGGATGACCAACTCCTGCTCATGTGCGATCCGTCCCCAAAAACCAGCCAAATATGTGTCCAAACACAAGCCGGGTGAAGACCACTGAAGCCGAAATCCCAGCGGCTTCGCAGAACCGGGCTCGCCGCTGCAAGCACCAGCCGATGGCAGTGCAGGGTGGAACCCCCCGGGAGCTTCACTTGGATGTCCGAAAAGCTGGGGTCGTTCCTTGGTCATCAATTTGGCTCTGGGTCAAGAATAGGTACCCCAAATGGACCCCTGGCAAGTGGAAAGAAGGACTAAAACCCGCGGTCCCCTGGTGGTTTAATTTTGACCCATGGCCCATACCCATTTGTTCTCCAAAGAAATACCGCAAAAGGGCAACATGAGGAGCAAATCAACTCCATACTCTCAAGTGATTAACTTAATTTCGTTTTTTACGCTGCCCCGATTTGAAAAAACTATCAAACCAACCCAGAGCTGCGAGTCAAGCCCTGGTGTACTCAGCTGCATCTGCCCAACAAAAACTTGAGCTTCCCTTCAAGAAACAGGGTCCTCGAAAACGGCACACCCCATTTCCGCAAAGCGCGAAACTGCTGCAAACGTTCGCCAAGTGCTGATCTAGACTCAACGATGGCAGAAGGCCGGAGAATCGGCCAACGCCACAACCAGTAGAAGCTGCCATGGCTTCTACGATGGGCGCGTCATGATTGGGGGCACACAAACGAGAGCTGGTTGACCTCTTTGATAAACAGCTGTCTTCTGGAATTGTTGCAAGCAATTGAAAAGCGATGGCCAATTTCAAGAAACCCTCAAGTCTGGCTAACCGAATTGTGCTTCGAGCCAGAATGCTCTGGAAGCCATCCTTCTCAGCAGACGCCGGCTGACAGAAAGGTTAATCCCTCTAGCGGAGGCACTCCCCTGATGTTAACCAGATTCTTTTGCTTAAGGGACGGAGCTAAAGCCGCCCCGGCTCAGAAAAGATTCTTGGAACCTTAGAAGGGCCCGGATCCAAGGATCCTGACAAGCTTTCTGCTGGTAGGTGTCTCTTCTTGACCTGTGGTTTGTGGCTCGTTGTTTGTGCCTTGTCGATTGTCAACTTCAAAGTGCGTTCCCTTGATATCACTATCACACAGAATTGTCCTAAAACCAAGTTTCCACAGCCACGGTTTGTGGGTCCATTTGTTTGTCTTGGGGACTCAACCCTGTGGCTAGAAACGGCTGCCAACCGAACACCCCCCGAAGGCCAGAAGGTTTGCTTTGGGCCCGAGAGTTTAACAAACATACCCATGGAGCACACAATGTTCGCCAGAGTATCCGGCAAACACACCCCTGTTTCCCTGGCAAACAAGTCTGATGTGCAAGGCATGCATGCATGCAACTCCATGCAAGATTCATGGAGACTCATTCAAAACCCTTGCCAGGGAAATGCCTGGAAACGCCAAGGATCCGAATAAGATCTCGAAATCTGGGGCGGGGGGGGTAGAAGCTGGTGTTGCCGGCAATCGCAACCTCCACACAAGATACGCTTCGGCCGCAAATCGTCAGGAATGACTGTGAGGCAGGTGGCAAGGGGGACCGCCTCCAGTTACCCTTCTCTCTTTTTTTTTGGCGGGTGGCCCATATGGCGTCCTGAGCGAGAAATTGTGGATTGACCCTGGCTCAAACGAAGTTGGAAGTTCCAGGCGGCGAAGCCGGGAAAACACCTCCGGCCTGCGACGCCGAGCAGCGGAATTGGGTGCACAGCATCTGGTACTCCTCAGATCCGTCCGCCTTTTGAGGCAAGGAGGTCGCCAAATCGGATGTGCAAAATAGGTATTGGACCCCAAAGATTGTGGCTCTTTTCCTGTCGTTTTCCCGTGTAACCAACCCCAAAACAGGTACCCTCAAAAAACACGTACCCAAATCGACACCTTTCAGCACTCTTGCCAGGCATCCCAGCCGTCATCCAAGCCTGCTCAGTTCCAACGAAAAACCTGCAGAGGGTCCCCTTTGAGCCGGTCACCTGGGTTTGTCTTAGGATTCGGACCCCCGAAATGGGCTGGCATCAAAAAATGTTCAAACCTGCCAAAAGGGGCTGGCACCAAAACTGGACTCGGCTTCCAAAAAAACAGCAGGGACCTCACCGGGCAAGCCAACCACAAGGCAAACGCCTGGCCAATCCAGGCCCGGCGCAACTGGGGCCCTGGCTTGCGCCTGGCAAGCGCAACGGCACTTCGAAACATGGGAAGCCAAAAATGGATTTGGCGTTTCCCATCCCAGGACGGGGTTTCTCCTTCTCACCGCACCTAAGAAAACCCCAAAAACCAAAACACACCGCACCAACACACCGCAACAAAGAAAATGCGAAGTCGAAGCTGGCCTTTCGGGTCGCCTAAAAACTGGCAAGCCTAAGTCATGTACTCATGTACAAGGCACCTATAGATGTTCCGAAAAGCAAGGTGCTGACAAAATGTACGTACCTCCATGGAACCCGCTACCACTTTTAGAGGCTCAGTTGCGCTACGGATGTTCTTTGTTCACTAAAAGGCATGGCAAAACTCGATGTTCTCCTCCCACCTCCCCCCCAGCGTGCCCACTCCAGGTCGGACCCCTCGAAGCCGAACTTCTCCGCAAAGTGCCGCAGCTCCGGGTCGTACAGAAACCCGTCCTCCGGGCTTCGGCGGGACGGTTTCGGTTTGGGCGGGTTTCTCCCAACATTTCTCGGCCCAGCTGGCCGTTTCTCTCCCGTTCAGAAACAACCCCAAACAGGACACGCACGGAACTGGGGGCAAGAAACTGTTGTCTTCCGGGCTTGTAATTGGACAACCGCCCCCATGCCAACCTGGTAGGCTACCCAAACATGGGAGTGAGCTGCCAACATCCCCTCCAAAAGGCGAATTCGAAGGAGAAAGTTCCACACAGCAAAGAGCGTTCCCAAGAACATGGAAGCTACAAGGTTTCAGCTGTTGCTACCAGTTGAAACAGATATGTTCAGACCATGGCTGAATCAACATCAGTTCATTTACATTCACAGCCACACTACTGTGGATGTCAAACAATATGTCCTTCAAAGAAATCCAGCTAAGAATGACAAGACAATGGTTGTCAAAACAAAAGGAACAACTGCAAAAGGCTTTTTCTTTGGGCCAAACCGCGACCCATGGCCGAGCCCGCGGCCCCATCTTTGTCCAGCACGTAGAAAAGCGTGGCCTGCGCTCCGGATCCGGAGAAACGGATCTGATCGCGACGAACAGTTGACGAATGGGGGGAGGTGTCCCCTTTTGGTGGGGATTCAGACCACTGGAAGGAACACCCCCCGACCCGAAAAAGGACGTGGTCCACTGGAAGGAACACCCCCTAAAAAAGGACCAAAGGACAGGGTGATTCATCTGGGGTCGACATTAGCAACCTTAGGCTGGACAACTGATGGCTCGACTGTCGTCAATGGTTGCCAATGGCACCGGCCATTGTGGTTGATGTTTAAAAACACATAAGAAAGGACATCGAAAAGAGACAACGGCGGGTACGTTGTTGACGAAACACGCGAGTCAACCGGGAAAGGCCTATACCCGTTTGGAGTCTGCAGATTTATGTTCTGAAGCCCATCCATTTGCACACACAGTCGGCAATGGACAAGCCAACCGCCCAACCGCCCCGCCCATCTCCGCATCTCCGCATCGCCGTGCCCGCCTTCATCTCAGCCCGCTGCACGCCCCGAGCGTCTCCCTGCTCCACGCCGCGGGCGCCTCGTTTGGCGGCCCGCGGAGGCGCGCGGCACTGGGGTCGTTTGGGCGGGTCGTTTTTGCAGGGAACCCCCAGAATGGTCGAATTTAAGGGGAAGCCAAAAGGAAACCAAGCATTTTGAGGGCTCCCTGGTTTTGAGACACAGCCAGTTCTACCAAGGATTCTCCTACCACCTGGAAGGGGAGTTCAATCGTCGTAAACTAACGGAGGCTAGGCAGCAGGGTTTCCTTGCGGGTTCCCTGGGGTTTCCTTTGGTCTCACCTCACCCCCAAAATGGGTCCAGGCGCTTGATAGCCACTGCTTCCCCTTTCCCTTCGTGGCATTGACCCCCATGCCCCAACCCTGTGCTTGCGGCTTCGGGTACGCCTTTCGGTGGCTTAGGACATCAAAGCCCACCCAGCCATGGGCTTGAAGGCAGTTCCTAGCATATTCCGCTCATGCCCAGTTAACAAGTACCCGCATTGGATGACTTCTGAATTTGCCAAGCATCCACTCACACCTTTTGGTGGTGTTTTGTTGCCTTCCATTGCCGCCCCTGGTCAAGTGCCTAAATATCACTCATTTGGGCGTGGGTCAAACATAGGTACCCAAAATGTAACCCTGGCAAATGGAGCCAAAGACTAAAACATGCGGTCCATATCCTGGTGGTTTAATGTTTTGAACCCCATACCCATATACCACTCTCATCACCTCAATATGGCTATGGCTCAAAATAAAAGAGGAGGGGCACACCGCGGGTTTTGGTCCATGCTTCCACTTACCAGGGCAACCCATTTTGAAATTCCGGCTTTTTGAGCCATAGCCATATGGTTTCAGAGCACATGCCCTCGTTGTCTTTTGTCCAGGGCCACCTGGCTCCTCTTGCCGATGTTGGGATTCTGCTCTTCCAAGGCCTGAGTCGGCTGGCGCTCAGCTGTTCGCCCTTGATTCCGTTCCATTCTTTTCAGCCATCGCTCTTTTCAAAAACCGATCGCCGTTTCCCCACGGTTTTGGGTGGTTCTCCGGAAAGAAGGATCCCTGAAAAAAATGGGGAAGTTACCCCTAGACTAGTTGCTGTTAGACATTTTGTGAGTACCCTGAATGCCCTCCCACATGTACCGTAGGATACCGACTGGGGTGTGTCTTTGTCTTCTTGGGTACAAACTTGAAACAACATGTCCTGTTCTCTGGCCGTTTTCTGAACAGAATCCCTCAACAGGCGACACGTTTCATTCACGACATTCGCAGACTGCAAGAGACCCTTCAACGCTCGGGTGCACAGGTCTGTCAAAGCCCACATCACCATGGAAGACAAGGGTTGCCTCAGCAATGCTGCCTTCCGGCAGTTTCCCTTCAGCCCAGGGCCATTAAAAGCACCCATTCGGGAAGGGTTCTCGCCTCACCTGAGCCCTGGACGCAGTGACTAGCTTCCCAAAAAGGGCATGAAAATTTGGCTCCTGCGCCCGCTCCCGGTTCTTTTGGCAGAGTTGCGGGCTCCGCATTGTCACTTGCTACGAACATACCACCAAGAAGCTGCCGGCACGGTTGCCTTATGACCCATCTAGGAAAGGACAGCTGGGGATTCACGGGGGGCCAAGTGCTTGAACCAAACCCTGGATACACTCTTTTGCATGGGCCGCTGGTGTCCAAGAAAAGCCATACAAGCAACTACAACTCAGTACTTCAAGCGTATTTGGGTCTGTCCGCTTTATGAGGATGCCAGTTGTTTGGCAGTTTTAGAGCAAAACCAAAAGGAAACGACCAAAAAGCAGACCCATGTATTCAAGGAATTAGTGTCCCATACCAGGGCTATTGACTGTGACAAGAGGTAAACCCGGCCGACCGAGGCTGAAGAGCAGCCCAGTAATTTTCCATCCCCAGCTAATTCCCAGTTCACCCTACCCTCAGTTTATCCCGGACAAGCCCGAGTTCACAGGTCACCGCCGGGTTCACCCCCACAAGAAGCCCCTTGCATATCACCAAGCATCCGAGCCAAGGGGCTGAATCATCAATGGCATTCTCCCATTGTCATGGGCCTAAACGAGTTTTATGGTACCCCAACCCCCATTCAAATTCTTTGGCCCGCTCTGGGTCTGATCCCTTTGGTGGACATCAGAAAATCGGGACTTGTGTCCACCAGCCACTTGGGAGCCTGTTCCAAACTTAATTCGTCGACCGGCCCTTCGTCTGGCTCGCCTGCTTGGCTTGGGCAGCCTGGCACGCGGTCACATGGGTCTGTCTCTAGGGCCCCACCAAAAAAAAAACTAAAGTGCTCTCCATGGTGTTTCCCTTGAAGAGAACCGGAAAAAAAAGAGTTCCGACATAAGTATGCGTTTGAAGGGTCCCTTGTTTTGGAAGGGCTTAAAAGAAAACCGCCTAAATGGACAATCTGGATACGTTGACCGAACCTCGTGGTGCCACTCAGGGGAAGTTCTCAATTGAGTGGTTGGACAGGGATCCTTACATTCTACACCTGAACATTGCCTTGTAAATGGTGGTGTCCCTTTGTTTTGGTGTTGAAAAAGCCACATGTTTCAAATGGGGGCAACATGGAGATCTTTTAAGGAGCCCTGATATACTGGCCCACTTCCGCATGCTTTGGCAAAATGTATCTTTTAAGGAGCCCTGTTGGAATCGATTCATTTTACTGGACTCTTCTGAAAATGGTGCTCCAAATTCAACATATCAGGGCCGTGGCCGAGGTGTTGCTTTTGAAGCCTTCGGGAATCAAGGGACACCCTGAAATTTGGGGGAGGTAAATGTGACATCAGGGCTCTGGAAATAAACACATCATCCATCCTTGTGGCTAGTTTTTTGGGGGGAGAACCAAGCCTCAGCTAATCCTAGTTACAATTATTCTAAAACTGAAATCAAAGATACCCAAGTAAAGGGCCTTCATGGTGTGCTCGCCAAACAATTTGCCCAGCGCGGCCTCGCTGCCATACCCGAAGGGCCAGATGCGCTCCCTCTGCTCCTCTGAGAGTCGGTTGGCCTAAGAGCTCATGGCGGAAATCCCGGCGACTGAAGCATGCGAGACTGGCCAAATCTTCCCATGACGACCCTGGACTCAGAAACTGCGAGGAGTGCGTCACCAAAAGCAACCAGCTGGGTTTGACCAGGTGTTTGAGCCCCGGGTCGCGAGTGGCATTTTTCGCGTAGTGCAATGGCACGGGCCTCCAGTTGTGTCACCAAATCTCATACATAAGGGCTGGTCTGACACAGAGTGAAACTGGAGAAAAGACATACTGGGCGGCCCCCAATTTGAGTCATAAGGTCTCAATCTACGAGAGTGCCAAAAAAAAGTTGAAGTTGGAGCCGAGCGATTAGATGCAGGATCACTTAGAGTCCTACAACTTGCGCCTCGGGCGTCAGCTCAAGCTCCGGCTTCAGCTCCTGGAGCCTTTGAAGCAGCTCCTGGCAGGCGACTTCTCAGCCGCACCTCTGGTGAACATCCGATTCAATCCAACCATAGGAAGCCTAAAATGGTGTGGTGAATTCACCTACCATAATGGGATCCAAAACGGTTTTGACAACAGCCAGGTGTCTTTAAAAGGGGCCTGAAAAGGGGAACGTCCTTTGACTGGTTGGGATATGATTCACCATTTAGACAAAGACAAATCCCAACCGGTCTCCTGCAAGGAGGAGAAGTTCTCCTTCAGGATCACAACCTCTGAGGCAAACTGTTGATCATAGATGCGGCAAACCAACGGCTGCGCTGGTGCTTTCTGGCATGCCATCTGTGCGAAGCTGCGGTCGTCCATCTTGGGATGGAAGGAGTTGTAGTTACAACAAGTCTTCGGCTTCCACTCGACCCTCAAGTGCCGCGGCACCTGCATCTTGGGCCGGAACTGCAAGGCCTTGCCTGGCAAGTGCTCCGGCATAGCCTCGACGTACGCGCTCATCGTATGAGACATCAAGCTGGAGTAGGCGAAGGCCACGTTACTGGCCACGTCATGGCCAGTGTCAATGCCGTCCAACACGTGGTCGAAGAACGTGCTATTGGCTTTGCCCTTGCCCACAGCCATGCCATAGGCCGCTCCAGCGAGTCCTCCAAGTAGCGACCCGAACAAACCTGCCTTAAGAACTGTTGCATCTTCCTTCTTGATCTTGAAGCCACTGCACGGATGGCCCAACACTGGCGGCACTTGCGGCACGGGGTCGTCCGTGCCTTGCAGCCGCGCCGTGAACCCCTGCAGGCGCAGCACGTCCTGGTAGAGCCGCTGGAAGGGCGGGCCGCCCAATCTGGGGGCGCCAAATGTGACCAGGAAGACCTCATAAAGCTCAGGTAAGCACAGCTCCATGGCGCACAAGGTGGCCATCGCCCCACCCAAGGAGTGACCGGTCACCAACACCTTCTGCACTGACGTCTTTGAGAGGGCGTCCCGGACTGGCTGACGGCTCGCCTCGTACGCACCAAAAAACCCGCGGTGCAGTCCAACGCCGTTGGAATCCTCCACCAGTTTGCCTCCTTTGCAGCTCACATTCACCGGCAGAAAGTCGAAATTGGCCTTCCAGTTTGCAAAGGCTGTTTCGGTGTCTGGCATGTGGGTGCCGCGGTAGCACACCAGAGCCGTGTCCTCCGCCACACTAACCCACACACGGAACGCATCAGACTCGCCGAAGATGATGTCCGCTCCTGTAGGGCACTTGTCGTCGTAGTAGATGTCGCCACAATGCTGGGCGCACGTGGCAATGGAACACATGAGCCCCACAGAGGCTAGGAGGGTGAAACCTGTGGAGCGCTAGACTGCTAGACTGCATGCCCAGTAGCCCAAATGCTTCAGTTGGACGTCCAAATGACCACCAAACCTTGAAAAAGGAGAACAAACATAGGTTAAGCAAATACATATTTGCTTGCCACGTTTGACAAAACACCTACACGCAACTTGTTCTTAATACAGGCCAGGCAAAAAAAAGACAAACAAATCGGGCTCGCCAATTCCCCATGTCCTCAATGTGAGCCATCTTCGATTTGCACAAAAAATGCAAATAGCGGCGGTGCCAACTCAGGCTCCGGCCGCCTCCAAAATGCCGCGGGCATGGTCGCCCAGCTCCTAGGAACGGGACTTGAGTTCACCTGACTCAAAATGTCAGGGTTCCGGTTTGGGGGATACATCCAACAACCACCGCCGTGCTTTACGAGGATCCGAATCCTTGAGTCAACTGGTATTTGGGTGATTTGCTGACTGGCCAAATGTGCCCTTGATTTGTTGGCCGGCCAAATACACTCTTAAACTCTTAAGGGGCTCCGTTAAAGGAGCAGGGTACTTGGAAAGTGGCTGGCAATGGTCATACCCCCACTTATGGTAAGTCCCCTAATCATCGCTACCCTTTCGAAACGGCACCAACGCACATGACTCCGCACTGGGCTTGGGGGTTGGAAGGCCCCGCACGGGAGACAAACGTGCGAGCCTTGCCCAAACCCCCAGTGGCCATGGCAAAAACAAGGGCGTCCTTTGAAGGTCCAAAGAGGAAGAATAAACCAGAAGCAACCCGCTTCGGGCAACGAGAAGACGCCCTGACCATCGGACCTCTTGCGCCATAGACAACCAGAGCGAGAATATGCCTCTTGTCAGAGGACGGATCAGGATTTTCCTCTTGTGAGGCATTCTATACAGAGATGCTCCAAGAGCTGAACGGCCATAGAGCAAGGGTGCGCGACCTATCAAAGGCCTGCTTGGTCCAATACAAGGACCATGAAATCAAGCATTGTGCCGGTTGAAAGGTTGAAGGTCAAACTGCGTAACCCCACCATAGATGATGAAAGGGCATTGAAGGGTTATTTTATTTTGAGGTTCCAGGTTGGAACTTCAATCAGGAAATACAGGCCTGAAACTCATCAAACGGGAGGCCACAGGCGTCAACTTTTGGGCAAACCCTGCGAACGAGGGAAGCCCTGCACGTAACGAACAAGGAAACCCTGTAGATCAACAACAAAGTAGGTCCAAAGGGCCAGGGTTCCTCAAAATATACATCCAAAACCAATCAGCTTGCAAGGAGTCTGTTCCTCATCAGCTGGTACAAAGGTAATTGTTCAAGTGGCCCAAACAAATCCGTTTAGGGTCCTCATGTCCCCAAAACCCACCGCAAAGAACCAAATGGCCGGAAGCTGGCCGCACATTTGGGCAGGTTCTTTTGTTCTCTGCAAACCAGCATGGAACTGAAAAACAGAAAGCCAAGCGGAGATTCCTCTACCAAGATGGTAAAGAACCCAACGGCCGGAAGCTGGCCGCACATTGCCTCTACACATCCGGCGTGGAATCCATGTTCATCCTTTTGGAGGTAACCGTCTCCCCGAGGCTCTCCTCGGCCACCTTGGTATCCGCCAGAGGGTCCTCCTGGGATTGGACCGCCTGCCACGTCCGACGTCTGGGCGGGTGGGGGGGGGGGGGGGAAGAGGGAATAGTATGTATCATGTGGCCGGGCAATTTTCTGCATTTTTATCGTCATGTTCTTCATAGGGAAGGGGGGGCAACTCAGTCAGGAGAAGACTTACTGCTCGGTTGCTGCTGACCCCTCTGCAGAAGCTTAACTTGTGTGGGTTTGATGGAAAATGAGCGGTTCCAGAAAGGTAACGTTCAAAGATAGCCACATAGCCATGAAGACTGGTACCTTCATCCCAACCCATTCATTTCGGGTAGTATCTTTTGTTGCTACAAGAAAGCTTTTAGTGGTCTCAAATTTATCACACTAAAAAAGGTCAAAGCGTATGTCTGGGAACTGCCGAGGATGGGATTTCCTATTGCAACCAAATTGGTTGACAAAGAAGACTTCATAAGGCGTGCCAGGGAGCTGCGTGTGTGGACCATACCGTTGGAAACGGGCTAGATTGTGCTTTACGACAAAGGCAGTCTATTTGGAGACACTTGCCGTGTCACCGACCACCCCTTTTTCCAGGCCCCAGCTGAGTGTCCACTTTTGACTTAGAAAGGCTCGCCAATACGCGCAGTGGAGTTTCAACCTACCAATCCCCTGCCTTCTCCATGTCCATTCCGATGAGCTCATCCAGCATGAGCTCCTCCGTTCGCATGGGACCAGAATCGAACCAGGAAAAAAAAACTACATAGAAAGAAGCTCAGCCTGTTGAACAGAAACCTAAAAGTATAAAACAAAACGGGGAAGGTGTTCCGTATGTCGTTCCCTTCATGTATCACCGCGCGCAAAAACATACTCAAGCGAAATTGGCCACCAGGTGATGTTCAAAACCACCAGAAGGCAAATCATGGCGAACCTACAGCTACTTCCAAAGACGCTGAGTAGGCCTTGGCCCCACCAATTTAAACGAGCATATGGGGGCTCATGGAACCTGGGGGCTTGAGTAGCCAGCCGTGACCCCACGCGAGTCAACATGTAAAGCAATCATCCCAATGGAATCAAGATGGCGCGTGTGTCCGACAAGTTTTCGCTTCATGCCTGAGGAATCAACCACTTGTCTACCTCAGCTCTTGCCCCCAACCAATCAGAATACTACGGATGGATCAAATTGGGATGGAAGAGACCCCACAAAAACTTGTATAAACCTTTACCGACTGGCGCAAGGAAAAACTGTGTGGCTGATTCTGCTACGCGCATTGTTATTTGGTGCAAGCGATGAGAAGCAGTTTCGTAGCCGTATTTCACCGGTCCCCTGAGCTAGTCATTTGGAGAACCTGGAATCCCTCACTGCATAGGTCGTCATGTTCAAGAGATGGGAGGTCCGTGTGGGGTTGTCTCCAAATAGAAATTGCAACCCGGGCCCGGCCTTGAAACCTGTATCGCTACCGACCAAACTTCCATCCACCTCGAATGTCTTCTATTGGATGGGAGTTGCCAAGTGGGCCGGGTAAAACTGAGAAGCTCTATGTTACGCTAAGACCCAACCAGCCAACGGTTCCCCTCAAGGAAAAAACCAGATGTTGGCCCAAGACGACCGCAAAGCTCGATCCAGAAAGAAAAAAATCGACCCGGCGCAAAGCCGTGGCTCGGAAAAACGGCGCTCGCTGCCCGCAACGCTTCAAAAGTTGGCTGAGTAATAAATCTATGTGAGAGTGTTGCTCCAAAGTTTGCAAGGGCAGAAAGTTGACTTGTTATGAAAGAACGCCAATGCCACCTCTTTCTACCCAAATGCTTGGTCACCCAAGTAGAGGTTCGGAGGGCCACAAGTTGGCAGGTTCGGCAATGATCATAGCCGTAGCGGGTTGGGTTGATCGTTGCAAAGGTTTGACTTTTTGCAAGATGGGGAAACTCTTCTTGCCCAAAAAAGTCAAAGGCTGAGAGGTTCACCAGTTGAAGATGGGCATGTCTTCAACTAAACCCTCCAGATGGGCTTCGGTGTCCGCAAAAGGAGGTACAGCCTCAAAGAGGCAGCCCTCCCCATAGAGCCGCGCCCTGAGACGCGCTCCTGGTAGATCTCCCAAGGTCCTTCACAGGGAAAAGTCGATGGCAACAACGGGCAGTTGCAACTTGCAACTGGCGGACATCGTGGGGATTTCCTGCGGGATGGAAACTGGGGGTCCTTCAACTTTGAGAAGTTCAGGTCAGTCCCAGTGGCGAACCATGGCAAAGGTTGCTTTCCTCTCTAGTTTGCCAATGGACAAAGGATGCTGGAAATAGAATGCGAAAAACGCGAGGGACAGGATTTGCAACTACACATTCGAGGGGGCGGGGGTAGTCTCTTGCACCTGAAAAGGGGAGCAGGACACAAAGTGAAGCGTCACACATGAACCTCGTTGAAGACACGGTGAGAATGAGCAACACCAGCGTGCCATCCAAACAAAGCACGGGGAGCGAACCAACTCAGGAGCAACCTTCCTAGAAGGGCTTCTGATCGACAGGTTCTCATCGCACCTCTGGGGTGTTGGTCCTGAATTTCCTAAAGTGCCTGACTCAACCTAGAACCAAACCGGCCGTATTGGTGTTTGTGCGGCGTGCCCCGCATTTTGCCAGAGCATGGCTTGAAAGAGTAAAGCATGCTAAGGCCGTCACTGCCATTCTAGGCATTACGAGCGTTCTAAAAGGGCCCGGACAAGGTCAACCTCTTGGAACCTTGACTGGACGGACAAGACTGGGGAAGGTCAGTTTGGTCAGGGTTCCCAAGCCTGGTTTCAATTGAAGCAGGGAAGCCAAATGGACTAAACCCTGCATCCACCGCGAGACCGACGCTCCAATCTTCCAAGTTGTTTAATGGGGAAGCCCGGATACCTTTTGATAGGAGGCTTCCCTTCCAAAAGTGATGAAACCCTACTAAAAGGGGGACACCCACCACCAATCAATCATTATGTATCAGCCAGTTCATGAATCTGCAGGCAACATGGTGTCTTTTTTGGGGAAGACTGACATGGCTTCGGTTTTTCAGGTTTCCCCTAACTGGTGGTTTGGACTGGTGGTTTGGTGGTTAGGGGGTGGTTTCCCGCTTACTCTCGACAAGAACCAAGGCCCGACATCCAAATCCAAACCACCAACCAAGGGTTGGCTGACTGTTGTCTGGGCAAGAGGGAAGGTCGCAAAACAGGTTTCGGGAGATTAATGAACCTTAGTGGGTGTGGGCTTCATCACCTTTGGAAAGGACAACTCGGCTCCCCCCCAATTGTTTCCAGTCCTTATTTGTCTTACTATTCAATTTAAATATTTCCTATATCTTACACACACACACACACACACATGTCTAAATACAACTTATCCATTCTCAGGCCATGATTACAAACACAATCTTTCTTCTCCTTCTTCTTCGTCTTTACTAGCAGCCAAAGTATGATCACAACCAATCGATGCATCTGGCGTTCTTTTTTCTTAGGGGACCCATATGGCGTTCGCTTTTCCTTTGGCTCCGCCCAAGAAACCCACCGACGGCAACGAGCGACTCGTCCCCCACCTGGCAGCGCCTCCTTCTCCCAGGGCCGAGCGCGGTGCCGCAGCGTGGCGCACTGCGTCATGGCCTCGGACGGGCGCCGGACGCCAGCGACGCCAGCGACGCCAGCGACCCAAGGGTTTCGAGTTAAACGTCGGCAACAAGCCTCAGGAGTTGTCATCTCAGGGAAAAAAAAACAGTGATCAAATTGAGCTTCTCCCGACTCCGCTTCACTCCCGCTCGCTAGCAATGGCCGTTCAACACGCGGAAAGCTAAAAAACAAAGCCGATGTGGACGGCACAAATGGTCACTTTACCATTGCTTGCATTTGCAACACGGTTTAAAAAATGAGCGTTCCAAGTTTTAGGAACCACGCCATTTTCCCAGCATGGCCTCCCAACGGCGGTATCGAGGCCCAGGCATACTCCAACTTGGTCAGGTCCTCTCACAATCCGAGACCTATACTTTGTAGCCCCACCCGCCCCAGGAAGAAGTGAATTACATCAATCAAACCAATTAAAACTAAAAAGTATATTAAACGCAATAGATCAATTAATATTGATAATAAATATGATCTAAAATTAGATTTAATCCAATACATCACAAATCAAAAAAATAATAATATTGATTTAAATAGCTTTGGTGATGATCATTATACTCGCCCAGGAAAACGTACTAACCTCTAGACCATCCGAGCCGCGAAGCTGGACGCCGACCCTCTGTCAGATCTCAACCAGGGCGTCAGCAAGCGCGAGGAGCCCCATTCGGAAGGGAGGTTGGGGGCTTTGGCATGGAACCCTTTGAAGACAGCCCGAAAAGGGCACCCTCAATGAAATACCCATTTAAGGTTTCCCTTGAAAACAACCCAAAAAGGTACCCTCTGACAACACGACAGCCCAAAACAGTCTGGCGCCAATGCACCCGTCCTCACGGGAGACGTAGCCTCACAGCCCATCGCGCTCTCAAAAACCCACTTCCACCATACCCAACTTGAATGTGCAATACTTACGTATTTGAAATGGGGTCCAATAGTAGCCTCAAGAAGGTCGCCCCGCACCGCACCATCAATGGCGTTTTCCGGAGTTGCTGCACAATCCAAGCGGAAACATGGCCCGGCTGTCGTCTTGAACTGCCCTGCAACTGCCTTTTCAACTGACCGGACCGCCGACCAAAAGGTGAAAGAAACATGATTACACTGCTTCCAACGGGAAGGTTCCCGGATCCCTTTCTCCAAGAAGCCACTTCGGTGCGATGGCAACGTGCGGAGGGTAAACCACTTTTGTCTTTTCTTCGCATCAACTCCAGGCCGGAAGTGTCTTCTGCAACCGGGGGGATGTAACCAACTAATCGAAGTGTGCATGTTTGAGGCTCCTTTTAACGGCCTGCGAAAAGTCCCAGCAGCAGAATTAATAAAACCTTGGTTGATTTAATGGGGTCACGTTTAAGGTAAATAGCCATAGCGCGCAAACTACAATATAAAGTTGTCTAGCCCCACCTTCTCTGGGGGTATTGGGGTTGCAAAGAAAAACTGCTCTCAACTCCTCGTGAAGTTCCTGAGGTGTCCACGGTTACAAGGCGAGAAAGGTGAGAGGGAAAGGCGAACCACACTTCAGCAAATGAGCCGCGGTCGAGAGAACCATGAGAAAACCGTTGTCTATGGGGGGTTCCAAGCCCCCCCATAGAATCTTGAGACAAGATTAAAAACATATGGAGGGTTCCCAACCATGAAACTGTGAGGAAAACCTCCCTTGTGTATCTTTTTTGGAGTTGGCAACCCCTTTTTGGGGGGTTGCCCCACCAAAAAGAAAACCGTCACCATTTGGGGGGGGGTCCCGTGGTTCGGTGGCACCTCGAATCCGTGGCCGAGGCGCGAATCGCCTTTGCCGGGCACTCCCCGATGGCCTCTCAGACTCGCACTGGAATTTCCGCAACACGACCCCGGCTTCGTTCAACCGGCTTGCGCCTGTCGGAGTTGGCAAAACCGCCATTGTGGGGCATCCCTCCTGAAGGGAATCCCCGGGTTCAATCCCGAAACCCATGTGATCTCAGCTGTTTCCCTGTTTCTGGCAGTTTTCTTGGAAAGGACAAGAATGGGGAAGTTACCTAGGATGGTCGTCAATCGGGTTCCTCTTAAGTGGCTACATGTATCAAGGGCTCTTCATATTTCTCAAACTATCATCACCTCACCCAAAAAAACTCACGTTGAAGTGCTTTGCAACAGTTCCAGAGCTCCCTTGTGACATGGCAATAGCTTCCTTTTGGTCTCCCATTCAACATGCAAAAAGGCTGTCCATAGGCTGTCCATTTTCCGCAGGCAGGTGAGCTGTACCGAATTATTTCCTTGCCAATTAACATGGAACCCGCAATGGGGTTTCAGAAAGAAGGGGGGATAAACCTGCTGACTGCGGGGTTACTGGATTTAGAACTCCATCTGGGTGTGGGTCAAAATTAAACCACCAGGATATGGACCGCAGGTTTTAGTCCATGCTTCCATTTACCAGGGCAACCCATTTTGGGTACCACAGCCATATACAAGCAAACAGCGGCGAGGTACATCTCCGACACCCGCGACCCACCTCACCTCCCGGACCACGTAGCGGTCATCCCCATACTGCAGCGCCACATACGAGCGGCCTCCGAATCGGAGAGCCCGTTGTATACCCCCATAATATTATCAGGGTCCCAAGCATGATTTATGCTGGGCTTCATAAAACTAAGTGTCATTGTTGTCTGGAGGCCCATCCTGGAATGTGTTTACAATCATGGAACTGAGAAGGTTTTGGAAAACATGATATTGAAAGATTATGGCTGGAACAAGCTTAGTGAAGGTATAGTTGGAAACCTTGCTTTACTTGCTGGTGCTCAGTCGGGAATATGGGCATGAACCCAGGGGTCCCCTTAAAGACAACCACCAGTTGGATGGTTTAAATCGGGGTCCGTCCATTTCTCATTCCTCACTGAGCATCAAAGCTCCCCAGCTTCGATTCGCTCGCCCGTGCGAGCGCTTGTCTCTATGGGTGACGTCTGCCGTTTTGGAGAGCGGGCATTTTTTGGCTCAAAGCAGAAACCAACTTGAGAAACCAAGCATTCTGTTGGGGTCGCCTGGTTTTTGTGGGGCTCAAGTCATTGTTGGGCCAACCTGCTGTTTGAGGTAAGCTTCAATTGGCAGTTTGCATTGGTGGTTCGGATTGGGGGTTTGGGGGTTGGAACCCCTGGTTCTTGCTGGTACATGTAAAAGCCACCCCCGAAACACCTGCAAACCACCGATCCAAGCCAACAACTGCAACACCTAAAAATAGACCCTAAAAATAGACCCTAAAAGCACATCACCCGCTCCAACTCATCCTTTAAACCATCCTTTCAAAGGGAAGCATAGGGAACTATACAGAGGGAAGCTGACTGTTTGCGCATGTGCCGCAAGGCCGCCGTACCTTCTGTGGGATTGCGTGAGTTGCCATCCTTTACAAGCAACTCCAAGACAAACACAGCCCCTGTTTAGACCCATCTCCCGCAACAAAGGTGTTCCACCTGTTAGGGACAGCTGTGCCCCGCCTTCTCTGACCGGATTGTCGTGGATGGCGAAGGTGGACGATGCAATGTTGACACACCTGCGAGCTCGCGTGAGCGGATGGCGCGCCTCATAAACAATGGGAAACAACATGGCGAGACAAAAAAATAAAGAGAACGCCGCAACCAAGAAGTTGTCTGAATTACGCCTGCAAGTGTATATGAAGAGACCACCCGACTGGATCTGCGCCAGATTGGGCCTCAATCAACATTCCCCGTAACTTGCCTGCGTTGGGAGCTTGTGCCCACGCTGGCATACAGGATTTCTCTGATTATGGGTGTTGGGTTCCAGGCAAGCGTTTGCGGGGCACTGGGGGCAATTTACCCTGAGAAAGAACAAACAGAGAATGCTTTCAAGGTGAGCAGAGTCTGGAATGTCTCTCGCTTGTTCGGAGAACCTGCAAACTGGAAGGTCGAATCCAATCCATGTAGAACCTTTGGAAACATGAAACAAAACTTGCACCGGCAACCGCCCACCGGCCTATAGCAGGATTCACACTTTGTCTCCTCAGGTGCAACCCGCTGGCTCAGCCATTGGTCTGATGATTTCAAAGCCTGAAGTCAGGGGTCAGGGCATCCCAAGTAAATGACCTTCATGTGCTTTCACTCGTTGTCCTCTAGCTCATAAAGGAGTGCCAATCGGGCGGAGAAAAACCCTTTATGAGGAGAATCGATTCAGTTTAGTCGGGCTCGGGATCATTCTGCAGTTGTCATAAAGCGCAAAGGCCAGACCAACCCGCCCGGGAGGTTTTGGAGGCTTCTGGAAGGAAGGGTCCGAACTCTGAGCACCCTAAAAAAGAGTGGGGTAGAATGGGTGCAGAAGCTTTTCCCCAGCGTTGGCTTGAGTCTAATGGAAAAAGTCAAATACTTCGGAGGTCGAGACTCATCTCCACGCAACCCCTCCGGAAAATTCGCGCCAGCTGAATGACCCCAAAGTCTGTGTGGCTGTGAACTCCACAATCTGCGCGTTGGTCTGCGGGAAAGGTTTAGTAACGTGAGCAAGGGCTTATAGGAGGGTTGACTAGGGGGGAATTGGGGTTGACTGGGATTACTAAGCACATGGCTGTGGGTCAAAACCCTGTACCCGTGGTGAACATCAAAATAGGTGGCAAATGGATGTTCATCCACCCAAAAATGGAGCCGTAGGTTATGCCCCATGGACACATGGTTATCTAAGCAGCCCTGCTTCTGCGATGTGTCGCTGCTTTCCCACGCAAGACTAAGAGAAACTGGCCAAACCCTCTGCGCGAATGAATGGAAACACCACTCCCCCCCATTCAGCATTCGGCATCAGTTTTTCTTTGGCAGGTAGATGTGCGGCCTTGGTGTCATCAAACCTGTCAAACGTGGCTGACTAGCTGACTACCATTCTTGTGCAGTTGCCACGCGGAGGTCCAAGCGCGAACCGCCTCCAGCGCAAAATTAACCTGGAACCCGAAAAGGGGTTCATGCCCTACGATCGGCACCAGTTGGGACGGATGAAGCCTATGAACACCAAGATAAACCACCTACAAACTGGTGCGAAGTGGATTCTGTCCATCCACAGTGTTGCAAGCAGGGAACAAAAGGGAACCCTGATGAACCCTGGCATTCGGCATGACCATGTTTTGGCTGGATACATTGGTTGCAATCTTGAAGGAATCCACTCAAAGTCAATCAACAGACTAACCAGGAAACCAGCTGGGGTCAATCCAACACATCCCCTCTCGAACCAGCAAGTCACTTGTCCCAGCGGCATCCACAAAGACGCCCATCGCAAACTGCGGCGCGTCCTGCGGAGGTGGATCCGAGAAAAAAATATCGCTAGGGGCGTGTTTTTTTGGAGGGCACACGTGTTTTGTTTTGTGCTTTTGGGGGGAAGTCAAAAGCCAAACCACCATTTTTGGGGCGGTTCCCTACAAAATCAGACCCGTACGGGTTTCTGCCAGAAGTTAACCCCTAGAAACCGGGGCCCGGATGTTCGCCGCGGCTTCTTGTTGAAACCGGGGCCTGAAAGGGGTACCAAACGCCGTGGCTCTAGGAACCGTTGCAAACTGAAGGGGGTCTTTTGACCATGGCCCCTCCACTGGATGTTCATGGAAAACACCGCCCTTTGGGTCGGTACCTGATCTTTGATCAAAACGGGGTGTCCCCCTCCAAGAAACAAACCGAAAAAGAGCGCTGGAGGTGTGGGCACCAAAGGTACCTGATTCGGACTATTGGCTTTGGTCGATCTCTCCAAGGCGTAAACGAGCTGGTCAACAAGAAAACCAATGGTACATGTTTTTTTCTTGAGGGCACCCTCTTGTTGTTGCTTTGTTTTTGTTTGTTGTTTGCATAATTATTATTTTTTGGGGGGGGTCCAGGCGGTGGATGTTCAAGTGAAACCAAAACGAAACCATTCATGTTGGGGGTTCCCGCCCAACGCCCAACGAGGAACCCTTGTTGGGAGGAAACCACAGGCCCCACATCCCAAAGCTTCCGAAACCTTCTCGAAGTTCTGACACAGATCCCAAAGGAGGTAGTCTGAAAGGACACGCGTGCAAAGTGACAAAACCCCAAATGAAAAAAAAAAGCTAGATTGGCCTTAGGCACTGTTGACACCGCATTCATAAACCCGGGCCCTGCCCTCCCCAATTCGGATACCCACGGTTCGCCCACGCTTTGCCCACGTTTTCCCCGTGCGCCTTCCATCCGCCCAGCCCTCCAGCCCATGGGGGCCTCAGACCAGTTGCTCTTGGCCAAGCTCGGCTTGGCCGCGCGCAGCTTCTCATCCTAAGCGACATCTGGGTCTGGGTCAAAATTAAACCACCAGGATATGGGCCGCAGAATTTCAGTCCATGTTTCCATTTACCAGGGCAACCCACTTTTACCTATTTTTGACCCACCATCTGATACCCCATGGGCTTCGGTTCAAAGGGCCCACTTCAATCTACAGGGCCAACCTACCTACCTGTCTACCTACCAACGTCCCAACTACCAACCTACCTACCAACCAACCCATGTACCAGTCAACAAGTGAGCGGGGTCAGCCAGCATTCCACCGCATGTTCAAATCGCAGATGTCAGAGCTGAGTCGGTGGCATAGGCAGCTTTGCTCTCTGGGTCGCCGAGCATGTTGTAGGCCTACAGCGGCTCTCTTCAGTCTGAAGCGGGGCGGCAAAACCTGAAACAAGGGATCCCCCAACCTTTCCCAACAACCCCCCGTCATCCACTTGGGTCATAGCAAAGGGCCCAGGGGGCAAAGGGGACCAAACAGGCTTTGGATAAAGTTTAACAAGGACTACCCTCCGCCACTTCAAATAGCTCAAACGGCACCGAGCTTATCTCTCCGCACTTCACGGATGGCGCTACACTTTGCACAGAGTTAAGCCAAAAACCCTCAAAATTGGAATGTCGACCTCAAATTCATAAACCTGGAAGGCACCTTTGGTTACCCCCAAAAGAAGGATCCTTGTTGAAGGAAACACCCAAATCGTCGGCCGTCCCTTGTCAGGGGACCGGCCCCGGGTTGAAACAATTTGGGCCGTGCCAGGTTTCCCAGTCCCGAGGTTCTGCTGTACAAGAACGCTAGCCCTGGGCCAAATGGGCTTGTAAGAACAGGGCAACCCCTAAAATGGACCATGTTTACGTGGTTTGATTGAATATTCCGAAACAGCGTACCAATTAAACGAAAACAACCAGATCCATTGCGACCTGGACATGGGAGTCCCGAGAGTAACCATGCCCTCCGTAGATGAGTCCTGATGAAAGCCCGTTACGAAAGGAGAATACCCAAAACCGGAGGAAGAAGAATCCGTCCCCGTGCCAACTTGCCGACCTTCATCAGGTTTGGTTATGGCGCAGACTGGGACCTGCGTCTTCAAGATAAGACTGAAGGGCATGGGAATGAAACGATCAATGTTGACCCTTCATCTCACTCACCCGCAGGATGCGGAATGGGACCTTGTCGATTCGCTGCAACTAAGTTGACTCCCCATTTAGTGTAGCCGCTAAGCCCAAGCGAAGCTATCCCTGTGAGGGGCTTGTAGCATAGGTGAATCTCACCACTTGCTCACTTGTTGCCACGACTCTCTATACACCTAAAGGATTATGAATATTGTAGCCATGTGTTCAAAGGTCTTTTTCCCCTTGCCCGATATCTGGGGTACACTGTCCCGACTCCCCTAGCCCAGCCTCCGTCACAATGCTCTGGAGATCCGCTGAATCAGCGCCCAAAATGTCTGGATGCACCTGGAATCCATTGACTTCTGACTGACCCAGCCAACCATATGGGAGTGTCTTTTTTGAGGTACCCTTTTTTACATGCAATATGTTGACAACACCTATTCGTGGTTGGTCTACACAGGGGAAAACCGCCAATTCGACCCCCAACAAAGGGTGCCGACTCAAAAAAAGCTATTAAAAGGGCAACCGTTCCCTGCCCTCATAGAAAAACTAGTTCGGATTCATGGAGCAGGGGAGCCATAGCAACCAAATAATGACTATGAGTGACTCTTATGGCCATTAAGGATCGTTGCAAGCCAAATCCCTCCCATGGCTCCCCTTGTTCTATTGGACATTCCAAGACAAATCATATGTGTCACGGTGAAACCGATTTGGTTTGGTGTCCTGAACTCGCGCTAACTCGTGGCCCGGAGAGTAGAAACCCTAGATCCTGGGACGCATTGTTTGTGTTGCGCCCATGTCCGCAGCATATCACGGTCAAAGCAAAGCCTTCGTAGAGTGCAAAGGCGGCGTCACCTATTTACGATTGGACCGACAGGAATTGGTTCAGGTACAACCAAAGTAGGCCAAATCCAACTCAAGTGCCCAAAAAACCTGGAAACAGCGGGCTTTAGAAGACTACAGTCACCTTGAAAAGCTTGACCAAATATGGCTGCCAACAATTAAAAACGTCGAATCCGGTCGGCTTCGGCACTAACTTCGAGGTTGCCTTAAGATGGGTTGAACCTCCGAAGGATGGCTTTAAAGGTAAACCAAAACGATCCAAATGGAAGGTCCCCTCGGTCTCTGAGATCCTGCCCACCCTGGCCGAAAAGGCCAGTGCCGAAAAGCGCTGGCGTCTCTCTCGCGCAGATTCTCAGGGAATCAACCCTTTTGAACCATTCCTTGCGGCTTTTTTTTGAGATCCCAGGACCATTCCAAAAACCTGGGTAATTTGCTGAGAACCGGCAGATTCCAAAGTCGGATTGACTTTTGGTTCCCTCTAACCCCACGGGTGGCTTGAGACACAACATGCTCCAGTGGGGATGTAGCCTGCAACCACGCGGGTATGTGTCGAAATATGGGCCGTGCTTCCAACAAACCAAGCTGGAAAGGATAGCCTCAAGAGAGCAAACTCACACACTTTTCTGGAACACCACTAGTTGAAAAAACGAGAATTCCTTCCCAAGGACGGATTCCCCTAAACAGAATCAAAGGAGGCTGCTGCAGGAGAAGGGACCCCAACAACCCCAGGGGCGCCCCTGGCCAGCAGAAGCCAATAACCATGTTCAATCGACCGAGCGGGTAACTCTCCATTCTGAACCCAGGGATCCCTCTGAAAACCTCCGAACAGAGGAAACAGCCAGTGTCCGACAAACATAGCAACGTTAGTTTGGTTGCCAATTCAAAGTGTGGGGGTTCCTCGGTTCTCTCGGAGGTCAAAAAGGCTCACCCTACCCACCCTACTCTAAGCCAGTTGAGTTGGAACCCTCATTTTGGTGTGGCCCTCCCTAAAAACAGGGGCCTTGGGCCCCCGGCAAGTTTCACCATCCGCCGGTGTGCCGACTTGATCTCCTTGCGGTCGGACCTGATCGCCGCCATGCTTTCCCACAAGTGCGGTTTTGTATTTGCCGCCGGAGCAACCAAGCGAATATCGGGAGGGCAGAACACCACCTGTCTTGCAGTGGAAACGAAAACATCCCGCTAGTGATGGCAGATAACACCCAAACGAGACATGTTCAAAACACAATTTCTTGCGGAAGTCTATCACAAACTATGCTAGCAATGTCTCGGAAGCGGTGTGCAGGGATCAGTAATTACATTTCCGTTTGTTTGGTGGCTTGGAAACTTAAACATTTTGGGACCTTTTTAAGAATTTTAAGATGAGTTTCTCCAGAGCACATAGAACTCAAACGTCATTTTGAAGTTGTTTTCCAAGCAGAGATGTCCGCTTACGCGTGTCTTTCTTGAAACCAGCGTATGTGTGTGTGTGTGTGTGTGTTTTCCTCTCCCCCACGGAGTGCTTGTGGAGGGCCATCTGCAACGTGCCCCGGTGGGATTTCTTTACTTGAATGCAGAAACGCCAATTTGGGGTTTGAAGAGAAACCAAGAGGCAGTCATCCGCAATTAAAACCTGATAAGGGTTTGTGCGTGACTCCCCCCCCTCTACGCCAAGAAATAGGTGCCGGCCACTTTCCCATAGCGGACTTGGAACTCGGAACCCCGTTGTGTGATTGAACGTACAAAGGTTGGCTTTCCTTCAAACGGCAGGGGCTGCCTCAAAAAGATGTTTGGTGCCTCGAACGAGCCAAAATGAGGCCAATGTTCGATGATTTTCAGTAACACCCAACACAGTCCAAAAGGCGTGGAAGGACCAAAAGCAATTTCGAGAACCCCTCAAATTGCCACCACTTTGGACCCAGCGCCTGTCGCCTGTCGGGGGCGCTTTGAGTAGACCTCTTTCCTCGCCACTTCCCATGCTCAATTCGGACAACGGCTCGGCCCCAAGCGTGAAGAGGGGCAGCCCCAGCAAACCTCGAAACGCACGGATACAACCTCTGTCATGTTTCTCAAAAACATGCTTCTGTCAAATTGCAGATTCCTTTCAGGTGGTTCAAAGATCGGTTTTCGCCCACGAGATTCTCTGACTCCACTGGTATTTGAGTGAAATTCTGGCCCAAAAATATCCAACGAACCGAGCATCAAAGCACAAACGGTGGGCTCCCTTTTGATTTCCCTTTAAAACCACCCAGAAAAGGGTACTCCCGGCAAAAAAAAACAGTTGCGCACATGTTGCTCATGATCCGAGGCGCTGTAGTACTCCGTGGGGATGGCTCCGCGAGACACCTCGGATGGCCAAGCGCCCAAGCCCGCTTGTCAAACCGCTCCCTCGAGTGTTCCAGGGAGCGCTTCCCCTTCGAAAGTTGAGGTGACTGGTGGGTTACGACCAAACTGGAACTTGAGGTGCATAGGGATCTAAGACCGGCCCCTTGTAAAGCCTGCTTCACATCCCCAAGGTCAACTTTTCGGGGGCTGAGTTAACCTACTTCAGCCTTACCGGAAAACCATATCTGGAGGTTCCACAACATATGCCGCAGTCCACCACGGTCGACATTACATGTTTCCCAGGGTGTTGCGGGAAACGGTGTGTCCCATAGAACGGAAATGTTCGCTGAACGTCATACATACAGACCGGCTCAGACAAGTCCAATACCAAAAGAACCTTCCACAAAAAGGTTCGGCAGGAACCTTCTTGCAGCTTTCTGGGGCCAGAAGAATCCAAACCTTTGCTCCACAGCCTTGGCTGATGCTTCTGGTCTTGCTGATGCAAACCTTGATGTGGAATGCGCCGATTTGGTGCAATGGGCAACCCGTCACTTCAAAGGGACCTGGGTATGGGTCAAAATTAAACTACCAGGGACCGCAGGTTTTAGTCCATGTTTCCATTTACCAAGGGTCCATCTTGGGTACAGATTTTTGACCCACAGCCACCTGGTTTTCTGGACACGCCCAAAACTGGAGAACCGGCTCAGGCCGCCACCCGCCGCGCGTGCGCGGCAAGCACACCGCCCACAGCCTGAGTCGGCGGGAAGGCAGCCTCGTGTTATACACCATTTCATTGGGTCCCTTGCCCAAAGAGTTGGTTCGTTTCGGGTTCCCTTTGACAAAATACTCTTGAAGGCATGCCCATTCGGTTTGAGACGTTTAGAACTGGCCCAGGCCAAAAACATGTTCTGACTTTCCAAGGGGCAAGCCTGAATGAGTCAACCACGTCACCAAGTGGTTGGCAACCCCCGATTCACATGCAGTTGACCACCCCCCCAGACACTCAACCACTCAGCTACCCTAACCTTCTGGCTTCCTAAGATGCTTACCCAAACCTTGCCCTAGAGCAACTCAGCAGTAGCTCAGCTACTTTGACTCAGGAGATTTGACCAGAAAAGGTCCAACATGTGGAAGGACATGTTTGATCAAAAGGTTGATTCACTTTGGACGAGCAAGGTGTGTTGGCCAAACACCTTTGTCATGCCTTTCTCTTGAGCATACTGATGGCAAAAAGTCATTCGGAAAACCAAATACAGACCATGTTGCTGGAGGCGGTTGCTTTCCGGTCGGCAAACGCGGCCACTTGGCCGTGCTTGTGCACATTGCAACGAAGGTGCTCTTCGGTTTTTGTTTTGCTCTTCTTCTTCTTCATCTTCTTCATCTTCGTCTTCGACTTCGTTTTCCTCCTCTTCTTCTTTTTCTTCTTCTTCTTCTTCTTCCTCTTCCTCTT